TCTACAGTTCACATGAGCCTATGTTACTGCCCCCATTCACACAGGAACCCCTTTGAAGCCAGCGATATTACCATGTGACTGAGCTGCTCAAGACCTGCAGTGTACACACACAGTGGTGCTTGTGCAGTCATGTGCTGTAGGGGAGGAACCATCTTTTGACTTGAGTCTGTGCATTTCACAGCACCCAGGTCAAGACACAGAAGGGATCAGTAACAGACATCCAGAAAAATCAACCACTTTTAGACATCAGTTTACGTATTTCCACCACATTGCTCTTTTAGAAGTAATAGCAAGATAAGCCATGGATGAAATAGCACATCTGGAGCCACCAGAGAAATAAGTGAATTGCAATGATTTAAGATGAGTCACTGTTCCACCTTAATGGAAAACCTATAAAATACCGAACTGCCAGAGAGCAACAGATCTTTCAGGGGTTTATTAGTTTTACAGGTCTTATAAAAATTACCAGAAAAACATAAAACTTAAATAGCTCAAAACTGAAAAGCTTTCATGAGCTTAAGCTCAGCCTGTTCAGATCACAGCATAGCTACACTCTCTACAGCTGTTATGTGGCACACTAGCTGCAAAAATACACCAGACTCTCTTGCTTTTGGTTAGCTGCCTTTTAAGCTCACACAAAATCTTGTATGTAGAATTCCCCTTATAAAAAAACATGAAAATATTTAGAACTCCATATATAGTTGACTTGCAGGTTCTCTCTTAGCCACAGCATGTCTGGTGATCTCTAAGTATTAATGTTGAGGACTGAACTGTGAAGCCGATGAAAACACTGAGGATTATTACAGTAGAAACAGATACATTTATTTTCCCATGCTGCATACTCAAGAGGCTTACCAGGCATAATTGCCAGTCAGGAGAATCTAGTTAAGTAAGAATTTATGTCACACTTCCTGATTTGAAAAGGTATTGTAAAAAATCAAAGACTAGACATGAAACACGGGAGCCTCATTATTATGTTACAAGATGGAATAACAGCTCCGACATTTAGTCTTGTGACCTCTCAGACTAAATCTGTAAATATATGCCATATCCAGCACTTACCAGATACAGCAGTTCACAGAGCTCATAGCCAGAGAAAAATTAGGTTGTGTATCACATACAGTCACCCTAGGATGATATAATCAGACTGTTGTTGATGCTAATGTAGTCACAGCTAGCTGGACAACTATCAAGCCACTAGCAGTGACAGTCCCCTTTACTGAGTAGTCTACATAATAAGTAAATTTACTGCATAGAATGCACAGCTAAGTCCCTTGAGAGCTGGTGGAAACACAGGCAGGCAGATTCCATTGCTTTCTAAGCCTTTTCCATTGCAGGTACAAGCACCCAGAATAACAATAATTAAGCACTGTTCAGATCTTGTGTAGGTAACCTGAAAATGTCAAATGCATCAGAAAAACAGTGGAAAGCCCCACTCTCTATTAAGCCTAGAATAATAAGTTATTTTGGAGTCTCAAGGTGACACAAGTAGATGGTGGCTAGCCAATCACACTCCATTAACCATAAGCCAAACCCAACCACATACCCAGGAACAGGAGACATTAAAGAGACAGCTATAGATTTTAAAAGAAAGTTTTTTTCTCCTGCCTACCATCAGCTAAAGAGATTGAGCTTATCTGGAATAGGGAAGAAAAGAGCCTCATGAAAAGTAAATCTTCACAAGGAAGTTAAGCTGTATCACAACTGATTTCCCTCTCTCTGTTAAGTTTTAAACCTTTGAATAATTAGAAATTTATTAGTGAATGAGAGTGTAGCAGTAATATATTAATAATTAAGACAACAAAAACTCCTGAATTCAGCATTCTGCTTCTGGCAAACTAGAAAGGACTTAACTGAGTTTTGTTAAAGGTCAACAATGTCTTCAGTTTGGTTTAAAGTGATTATGTTTTCAGGTTTTGCCTGCTCATAAACATAAGTTCTGCTTTCTAAGTTTGGACATTTAATAACCTAATCTATCTAGGTCATGTAAATGCCACACACTTTCACAATCCAAACAATAAAGAACTCATCTTCATAATACCAAAATCAAACTACTGGAAACCAAAGCAAGATAGAAAGTACTTCAATAGAAACAGCAAACTCCTTAGCTACAACAAATGAGAACAAACTCAAACACAACAACATGAAGGGGAAAAAAAAAAAACAAACCACAAAACACCCAGTTACTCACCTTTGAAAGACCTCAGACAGACAGAAATCTCCAACAAAAAGTGCCCCTACTTCCATTGCTAACCCTTAAATGAGGTCTGGGAAGGGGTGGATCCTGGCTCCTCCCCTTCCAGTCACTCAGGTACATTGCATGCACCTGGGCTTTCCTGGATTGGCCCTGCCTTCCCACCAAGTGCTCAATCACTGGTTCAGGCTGAGACTTAGCATTTCCGCTTCTGTAATTAAGCCTCACTAGCTGGCCAAAAGAATATGTAATCCTTTCTTATCTGTGACATAAAGTTTCCAAACTAAAATGAAATTACTCTGATTACTGCATAAAGACGCTTAGGTCTGCTGAACCTAATCTTTAAACACAGTAGTTCACATATCAGTGAACAATTATTGATTTGATTGATTTCTAGTGTTTTAATTGGAGGATAAGAGTTCTGCAGACATTCATATGCACATCGAGAGAATTTCAGAGCAATACAGTGGAAAATGTGCAATGCATGTCTGTAGGGGAACTGTTGAATCACGGCTTGAACTTCTGATTGATCATCTGAGGCAAGCACTAAGTCAGCCAAGGAAACACAGGTGAAGGCAATTCAGCTCTGTGACTGGAAAGGGTGGAGCCTGGCTGCACCTCTCCTTGACCCCATTTAAGGGCTGACTGCTGCTGGGGAAGGCTCATTTTTGGGGGGTAGCTCTGTTTAAGCTTTTTTCTGTGAGCCTAGGTTGCAGGTGAGCTTTTTTTTTTTTTAAACAATTACTCCTTTCCACCATGGTAGTCTTTTTGGTTATGTCTTGTAGACTACCAGCCTGACTATACTGCTTTACGTATTTGTTGACTGTACATTATCACAGAACCACTAATTGTAAAGTTGGTTACTGTTTTTCCTTATTTTTTGCACAAGTGGGTAGAATTTGCATGGCCTTTTTCTCACACCCTAGAAGCATGAAGAATTTGTGGTTTCTATAAGCTTGTTATTAAGCTAAGCAGAAGTAACAGTCTCAGTGAGACAGTTTGCATGTTTTTTGCTATGTGGTAGTATTTACTGCATGCATTAGTACTCAGTCCTTGCTAATGCATTTAGTTTAATTATAAATGAGCAAAAATAAAATTATTGGATTTGAGTTTATGGTAGACTTCCATTAGGGATTTTGTTCTAGCTGCTAATACATCTGGAATGAATAGCTTTAACCACTGTGCAATTGTTTGGGGGAAAAAAAAAAAAATTGAATTACATGAAAGGATTGCAAAAACATTCAAATCTATGGGGAAAATCCAGTTGTCCCTTTTTCTAGCATGATGTATTAGCACAATAATATATATCCCCTTATGCTTGATCAGACACTGAAATGTCTGATACTGCATGTTTTTTGCCTAGATTGTGATATCAAATATGTTTATGGTCTCACAGTGTAATTAGGTACTTAGAGAAACAAGTCTTTGGAAAGGGAACACCTTTGTTAAAATACAGTTTTCCACATGCCAAAGCTCATCAGTAGTATGATGAAGCACTCATGCACCTTTCAAAATGCTACTGAGAATGAAAAAACAAAGTAGCTGCCTTCATCTTTGAAGAATTTTGCTATAGTATGTTTAATACAAATACTTTCTGGGGATGGAGGATGGTTTCTAGAGAACAGGACTGAGAACAGTGAATCTTGTTCACCCTGTCACAGCAATATAGCCTTGGGAGGATCTTCAAGAGTTTGTTTGAATCAAAGCTGGATGGCAATGGGGCTCTCCCTGCTTATGTCTAACATGCTTAGAGCCTTTCAGCTATGGGAGCATCACACCATTTCCATGTCACCCAATCTTCTAGTATCTGAAGGCAAAAGATTTTTAATAATCACCTGCTTTTTGCTGCATTCTGAGCCCAATATTTCTTGCTGTATGTCATTAAAATGTAGAAAGGAAACAATTTTCAGAGACAGATTCAACGTGGCTGGAACTCTAATGGAGATCTGTACTAGACACCTCTGCACAGTGTTCCAGGTGTGCAGGCTGAGCAACTTTCCAACTGCTTCAAATAGTTTCTCCAATATTTAAGGATGCCTTGCATTGCCTTGCACGCTTTCCCATTCCTGGAGGCGCTCAGGTCCAGAGTGGATGGGGCTGTGGACAGCCTGATCTGGTGGAGGGGTAACCAGGGCAGGAGCATGGGGCTGGGTGATCCTAAAGGTACCTTCAGTCTTAAACCGCTCTCTGATTCTGTGATTCTATGGCTTGAACAAGTAACAGGTCTGGTTTAGAAGTTTAGAGTACTGGCAAAGTAATTAACCATCTATTTAAGGGCAAACATGGATAATAAAACTAGTAGGAAAAACAGGGCACATGCGGGGGCTGAGTTGCCCAGCACTTGTAACAAGTAAAGGTGAGTCAGTGCTGTTGGCCTAAATCTTTAAGATGGCTACTGTGACCAGCAGAATGTAAGGCCCCCTTTGTAGCCCAAACACAAGAGTTTGAGTAGTGGCTGTGGCAGAGGCAGGTGGTTCAGTGTGTCACTGACTGTGGGGAGTGCGGAACTGGATGGAGCTCGTTTGGCAGCAGCGTGCAGGGGAGGCTCACCAACGTGTTCAGTTTAGAAAACAGAGTCAATAGTTTCTACGGAGAAGCTTCGTCTCGCCGGGGGCCGACCTTCAGCACACCGGCGCCAGGCGGGCTCAGGGCGGCCGCGGCGCGCGGAGGCCCCACCAGGGAGCGCTGTGGGCGGAGGCGTGACCGGCCGGGAGCGGCGCTCGGGCCCGGCGTGTCCGCTGCCTTCCGCCCGCTGGTGTCCCCCGGCGGCGGTGGGAGCGGAGGAGGAGCGGCTCGGAGCGAGGAAGCGCCGCCAGAAGCCATGTCTGCGCCCACCGGGCTGCCGCCTCGGCCCGCCGGTGCCGTCGCCGCTTACCCGGGCGGGCCCGTTGGCTCTCGGGAGGCCGCGGCCCCTCAGAGCGCTGCGCCGCACTGCCAGAACGGTGAGAGGCCTGCGCGGGGCCTAGAGCGACGGGCGGGGTGGGCCCGCGGGGGCTGCGGTGCTCGGGACGGGGTCGGGCGGGCTGCGGGACGGGGTACTCCGGTGGGCCGCTCGTCGGGGCCTGCAGTCGAGCGGGGCTGACCCGGGCCGGGCCGAGCGCGTCTTTGCCGGGCTGGGGCCAAAACGCGGGGCGAACTTAAAGAGGAAACGCGGAGTCTGCTGGGCTCGGGGAGCAGCGGTGGGGAGGGCGTGCGTTTCTTCTGCTCCTCTCGTGGTTAAATGTGTTCGAGTTCGTGGGGATATTTTTTTTATTTTTAAGTCACTTATGTCATAATCCGGCTTTTTTGCGCTTTTTTTTTTTTTTTTTTTTTTTTTTTTTTTGGCGTGTGTGTGTGTACAGGCTTTGTTCTGCACAAGCTAGTGTGTGAGGTAACGACCTACAAAATTTTGGCTTGTGAATGTGCCTCGTGTCTGAAGGGTTGCTGGGTGATAGGTTTCTCGAGTAGGCTTTGAGTAACTTGGCAGATCAGGCAGAAGGCAGCGTGATGAGTGACGAGGAAGGTAGTTAAATTGTACCCTTTAGGGAGAAACCGCTGCTACAGATGCATTTGCCGACCTTTAATATTGTAATGCTGAGACTTGTTAAAATTATGTAGAAAACTCCATCCTCAATGGCTTTTAATAAAAGCACAGTGTTGTGAGGACTCGGATACCTATCAGCAGTGAGCTGGAAGTGTTTCTTAGAAACAAATAGAAACCGACGTTGTTCATTCTCATATTTTTGTCCAAATGAAACAGCAATTTTAAATAACTCTCCATAGTGCTTATTATTTTAATTAATTAGTTCCATGTTGTAGTCATCTTCTGTCGGTCAAATAAATGTTTTTGGTTTTTTAATTCTGAGAAGTTTATATTATTCAGTAATTGTTTCATCTTTATTGTGTAACTTGCTAACTACTCCTATTACCTTTGCTCCATGTATATATAGATCTCTGAATTTGTCACTTCATGTATTTTAGCACCAGCAGCCTGAAATTCCTAAATTAGTCTATGAGTCTTTTAAGTACTACTTTTCTGAAGTTACATAATGTAACACAAGACTTGAAGCTACTTTTTATAACTGTAATAGAAGGAATAGTGAGGGGGAATAGTAACAGGAGAAGACTGTACTAGAATTTTCTATTCTATCAAATAGAAACTGAATTTCACAAAGATTAATTTGGAATTTGATGTTACATTAGTTAAATGTAAATTATTTCAGTGAATGTAGTTAGTTCTATATTGGCTGTAAAACTGATATTGTGTGTCCTTGCAGGTGTTTGGAGTGTTCTTTGTGTTTTAATTTCGTAACACCTGGATTTTTTCAGGTTAAGCTTTTGAAATTACTTGCAACTGATGAAAGCAGGGCTGATTTTTTTGCAGAAAGAAGCTCACTGCATGGACAGCAGTAGCAAAACGGATGATCCACTTTGTCTTTAATAGGATTTGCCCAATCGAGTAACCACATTGATTTGAGACATTTGGGGACATTGATTTTAGCAGAGCTTCAGGTTAAAAATTAAAAAAAAAAAAAAACAACCCCTAATTTATTATTTTTTTTCTTCTCAGCATTTTCAATGTGATTCTATTATTAAATTCAGTGTTTAAAAAAGAAAGAGGATCGTGCTTGGCCTCTTGTTCTTCCATCAGGGGCTTTAAGATACAGTTCTTCCGCATGAAGTGTTGCAGGCTCAAAATTACTATTGTAGTTTTGCAGGTGGCTTTATACATAACAAGAGAATGACTCTGAATGTCAGCTTAAGAAAGTATTGCTTGTTAAATCAGTATGAAAAAGCAATGTATTTGTTCCAGTGGCCATTGTTAACAGCTTAATGTATTGACATTTCTAATGCTGAGTGGATGGCTATGCTGAATTCCCTTGCTTCTCTAGAAGATCTTTGTTTATTATTACCTGCAAGTAGTTGGTAAAACAAACAAACAAACAAACAAAAAACTCCAACAAACAAAACTACGTTTTGTATCTCTGCTAGTGTTTTGGGATTATCAGTTTAATTATCAGGTCATTTAGCATTGTTTTGCATCCCTCTTCAGGTTTTTTAGGTAGTTACAATTATATTAGAAGAAGGGCATAAAGGTATGAAATTCCTGATGAATTCCATCACTGAGCTGCTGTGGGAGCCCAGCGGGACTCAGCGTGCTGGGTGGTGTGCTGGCTGTGAAGGACATGCAGAGCTGAACTAGGCAGGGCAGTGCTGCCCCTTGTCCCTCCTGTAAGAGACACCTGAGGGAGCTGTGCTGCCTGCTCTCTGCAGGTGTGTAAAGAGATGGTAAAAGTTGCAGGAAACTTGGCTGGAAAGGCAGCTTGTGTTCAGAGTCTGTACATTACACACGCTTGGCAGAAGGCTGAATTATTCAGGTAAGAAAATGTATGTATGAAATACAAGCGAACAGCACTAGATAAGCAGACTAATTTTACTAGTTGACTTGACTTGGCTGTTGGTGCTAGTATAGCTGGGACAGTTTTTTGTTTTTCATGTGGCAGCACTTTTTTTCTCTGAAAAAGTGCTAAGGCTTTTGGCATCTAGCTGTTAATGCACATGTGCTTACATGTTACAGTGTTATGAGGTACAGATTTGTCAATGGCAGGAGAGTTTCCCTGCTTGCTGTTGTAGAGATGGCATGTTAGCTGTACACTTGCAATGTGCAGGTAAGGCTTTCACTCCTCATACAGAATTTTCAAAAGGGAGTTGTCAGGTGTTTGGGGAGGAAGGTGCACTGCCTGAAGCACCAGGACAAGGACGTGCAATTATCCAGATTTCAAAATGACAGCAAAAGTATACCCAGATTTCCTGTGTTGAAAGTGGCTCAATTATCTAGTCATCATTAAAAGCTTCAGCTACTAATTGCGCTGCGAGTTACATTCTATTCATGTTCTTTATGATCAAATGAATATAAAGCTCATTTCAGATGATGGGGATAATCTTAAAATAACAGCATACTTTCAGAGGCTAAGGGTTTTGAAATCCAAAGGATCATAGATATCTTTCTCGAGTTTGTGGGATTTTCCTGTGTGCTCTTGTGTCATTTTATCATCATTTTATTCATCATTACTTGTAATAGCTGTTTCTGTTTCCAAGTGTGAATAAAGATGACTTGGGCATTCTGTGGAATGTGGAATGTGGAAACTGGTATTTTGTACTGGTAATTCAATCACATCTGTGTTTTTTAAACTAGAGCTAGAGACTTCAAGGCTTTACAAGATGATTTGATATGCAACTGTTTATTTCAAGTGAGGTGCTCCTAAACCAGTTTCTAAATTACACCTGCACAGTTGATTTATTCAGCATACCACAACACAGTAAAACAAATGCGTAGAATGTGCTTCTAGAACAGCTTTCCTTGCCACCTTAAGTAGCATACCTGCTGAAAGCAGTAAGCCTTCATGTAAATTATTTGTATATTTTTGAGTTTGCTTTGCTGTTCAAGTTCCTGTAAGCATAGTCTGTAGTTGTCAGTGGGTTACTAACTGGAAAATCATTCTCTCTAAAGGAGGATAAACTACAGAACATTATAAGGTAGCTTCCACTTCGTGATAACAGTGAATCAGAAGCGCACAACTACATACTCTTCGAAACTGTTTGTCATTTTGTTGTGTATTTAAAGCTCCAATGCTTTCTCCCCTAGGGCCTTCCTGTTTCTTTACCTGGCACTCTTACATTACTGTTGTTTGTTAGCTGCTTCTACTCAGAGTTTTGGGTTATCATTTATGAAAAGGCATTTCTAATTTGATCAGAAAGTACTTTTGGATGTTATGTTCCTTGCTTACAGGATTCTGTTAACAAGTCATTATTACAGTTTCCCTGCAACTTAGTGGGAAAACACCCGGATGTTACTTTGACAGCGGTGACTTCAAATCTTCATTCTTCAAGAGAAGGATACATGGGAGAAGTAATACTTGCATGTTGACACAGTGAAAATAAGGAGGCAATAAGATGAATTTCTGATTTCTTGTCTGCTGTTGAATGGCACAGTATGTCACAGTTCACCAAATGCTGGGAAATAACGCCGTGCAGTGTTATATAAGCAGCAGGGCATGGCAATTTTAAGAAAGGAAATAATCCAGGGAAATGCAGGCGTGGTTCACTAGAAAACAGAAGTTAGGGCTTGGGAAAAGAAACTGAGAGAGACTTTGATATTTAGCATTGAACAATTTGAATAATAAGTAAATTTGGACCTACTTAATATTTGGTGTGTCACCATGAACCATTGCTGGATTGGTATGTAATTAATCTCTAATGCTGCAGAGCTGTTTGCTGGGACAGCTGAAACACTCTGATGTCAACACCTCCTCTACCTGATATAAGTACCAGGCAATAAACAGAGGTGACTTGTCAGCTAGTCTGTTTTCATAAAAATGATGGTTTCTGTAAATACAAAAAAAAAAAAAAAAAAAAAAAAAATGTATTAAGGAAAAAAATAACTGCTCTGAAGCACTTTATCTTGATCACCATACTGGGGATTTATTGAGACAAGTAGCCATGTTCTTGTATATTAGCATATACATTTGGCTGCAGTTTTTTGTTTTCCATAGTCAGTTTCTTGAAGGCATATTGTTGTATTCAAATAGTGAAATACTGGTTTAGGGTTTGCTGTTGCTCATTATTTACTTAAATATTTTCTTAAAGTGATCAAAATACAAATGTGATACCTAGGGATTTTGAAGTGGAAGCACCTTTTTTTTTTTTTTATAATGGAAGAGATCCATTTTTCTGGTACTTCTGTGTGTATGCAAATGATTTTAGATGTGGTATTTTGCATGCATTGTACTTGGTTAATTCATTTTGTACTGCTGATGGACATTATCTTAAATGTATGGAGAGAAAACAAGATGAAATGAATTGCTCTTTAGCTACAAAAAGCACAGAGTACATTCGCACTGCTAGCAGATGCACCTTTAATACATGAGATGCTTTCTCTTCATTTCAGGTCCCGTGCAGAGTCAAATGCAGTTCCCTGCTGGCTATGGCTCACATCCTCCGAACTACAGTGCACCCTCAGGACACTATTCCCAAGTGCCCAATAAAGCTGTTTCATCACCTTTGGATAATCAATATAGAGCCAGTTATCAATCTCCTTACTATTCAGCACCAGCACAAAATGTTATGACGCCACTCGTGGGAACCAATGTGTTGAATACACGGGAATCACAGCAGTTCTACAACAAAACTCCTCCCTGTACAGTGGGGTTGACTGAAGGACCTGTTCAAGGAGCAATACCATCTGGATCCTACTTGCATACAAGTGCTCAGCAGTCATATTCTGCATTTGGTGATCACTACAACACTTCAGTCAGCTCTTCAGTTTCATCTCAGGGATTTCCCCTTAATTCTGATCATTATGCCATGCCCGTGGTTTCTAGTGCCATGTATCCTAATGTTTCCTATCCTGCAGCTACTAGCAGCATGTATGGGCAGGCATTTACTTCTCAGAGCCTTCCTGCAGCTGGACAGTTCAAGGAGACAAATACATTTTCTAGCCAGAGTACATCAGTACCTCATTCACTTCAACAGCACGTTCCTGTGGGATATAACTCTACATTATCAACTATTTCATCTGCTCAGTCCTTTCAGGACAACCTCAGCAAGAATCTCACTGGATCCGTTGCTAAAGTAAACAACCAAGTAAACAGAGGTACGGTGTTATTTAAAGAATGCACCTGGGAAGTATCAGAAATCCCATGCTTTAGTTGTTTAGTACTCGATCATTCTGTGAAATTCTATATTATAATTTTGAATTCTATCCTTACTGTTCTGGAAGCTTTTCTCATTTGGTTACCACACTCCTCACAGTAGCAGCTAATGCTATCACTGACATGCTTCTATTGTGAGAGATAGAAAAAAATACTACTGGGGTAGTTTAGAGGTTATTTGTTGTTATTTATTCTTGAAGTAACTTAGAAGGGAAGTCTTTCTTGCTGTTTTGAAAGAGGGTGCAATTTCTTAATTGCAAATACACTTTTTTCATTCGATGACTAGAGATTTTTATTTGGTGTTATGACTTAAACTTGTTCTTCATCTTTTACCTAAGTGAACACATACGCACCCTCTCTCTTCACTTCAGAAACTTCAGTGGGTTTGGGGCCAATTAGCTTGGTTTTGTTTTCAAGAAGCATGTGACAGCTATTTAGGTGGTTGTAGCTGATTTTTTTTTTTTTTTTTTTTTTTTTTTGTAAACAAAGATGTTATTTTAGCATTGATGTAGCAGTAGAGAATGAGGTGTGGAGAGTGCCAGCTGAAGGCAAGTACACTCAGTCCTTGCTGGTAGCTTCAACTTCTGCTGCTTCGTGAGAAAGGTGACTGCAAGTTCGTAGGGTAGGAATTGTGGAAGGAATTTGATGTGTGTGAGGAGGGCCTACCTAATGAGACATTTTGCTCTCCCTCTGTATCTGAATTAAGTAAATAGTGTGTGGAAGAGAATTCTAATTGTTCTTCAATACTGGTAATGTTCTGACTTGATATAGTTCTGACTTGTAAGCTATGGAAGATGAATAGTTTTTGGATGAGATGGGTATTAGTGAGCTGTTGTTGAATGTTGCCTTCTTTATACCAGATATTTCAGATTATAGTTCAGCACCAAAATTGGTTTTGGAGTTGCTTGTAGCTGGGGCTTTCTAAGACCAAGGGACATGGTTTTGATGATGGTGAAGCTTTGAGTAGGAGCACCAGCTTAGCTTAAATCAAGTTCATCCAGTACGTGTCAGGGTTGTCTTCAGTTTCAGTGTTGTTTTGTTTTGTTTCCAAACTATGAGTGGTATCCTTCAGCTCAGTTTTGGGAGATGTGAGTTCTGCCTCTTTGTGGTACTCTGTGCATGTTTACTCAGTATTTCAAAGCCAAAACAAAATACTGTTTCCCCCCTCCCTCCCCCCCCCTCAAAAAAAAATTAAAGCAGGAAGGGGGAGGGCTTTATAAAGCTACTGAAAATAATGGTGTTTAAAGGTTAAGCATAAAAAGAATTATTTCAAGGACTAAAGGTTTAAAAGTACATCTGAAAATTGAATTATCTTCAGTATAGAACCAATAGCTGAACTTCATGAAACTCGAGTATCCTTCCAGGATACTGCAGTAGTTGTATGAAAATCATTTATTATTTGTTCAGTATCCTTCCAGAATAGTGGGATTTGCAGTAGTCTTTTGAAAACTGTTATACATTCAGACTTTTCAGTTCAGTTCAGTTGGAAGGGGCCTTTAAAGGTCATGTAGTCTAACTCCTCTGTAATGAGCAGGGATATACACAGCTGAATCAGGTTGCCCAGGGCTTCATCCAGCCTTGCCTTGAAAGTCTCCAGGGACAGGGCATCAACTGCATCTCTGGGCAACCGGAGTTCCAGTGCCTCAGCACACTTGCTGTAAAAGATTTTTTCCTTATATTCAACCTAAATCTACCCTCTTTAAGCTTGATATGTGATACGTCCTCAAGGAACTAGTAGCAATGTCAAGTTTCCATTTCAAAGAGCTCTCTGCACAGTGAACTCTGTTGAGATTTGTTTGGAGCGTAGCTTCTTTTCAGTCTGAACCATTTTTCAGGTTGAAACTTAACATAGAAGTAATTCTGTGTTTGCTGACTGGGAGAAAGCAAATTAAGGTAGCAACCATTAGCAGACTGAGGGGAAAGCAATCTGGATTACTGCCAACGTTGGCACAAATACTGTTTGAATAGCAGTTTTGGTGCAGTTTCACAGTAATTTAAAAAAAATCAAGCCTGAAATGATATGGTCCCACTCTTTCTGTGGTACTGATGCAAGTATTTCAGTACATTATAGGTAGCTGTAGGTGTTTCATCAGATTGAGTTGTCACATATAATTCCATTGGATACAGATGTAACTCCAACTACCAAGTAGGATTCATGACCTACCAGCCTCTCATTTAATTTTACAGAATGACGTCATTAATGAAGTCGGAATGTTGTTTTTTTGTTGTTTTTATTGGTTTGCTGGGTTTTTTGTTTGTTGTTGTTGAAGTATAGAATTCCATATCTTTGGCTTAAAATATACTGAAAGCACTGATAGGTTGCCAGGTTAATGGCGGAGGCCAAACTCTTGTTTGGTCTTAGCATAATTGAGTTGCTTTTGGGGGCACTGAAATGCTTTCTGAATTTCTCTGCAGTTTTATTGTAATCGTATGAAGTACTTTTAAATAGAGAATTCAGAGTGTTGGGTGTCTTAAAAAGAAAAAAAAAGTTGAAACTTGGAAAAGACTTGCCAGTTTTTGTACATCTTTGGAAAGAGTACAACATGCTAGCAATCTAAGGAAATGATAAACAGTTCATAAAAGGAAATTTTCTGGAGAACAGCATGGAGGATGAAATATTCAGGAAGAAAACAGTAACAGAAATCAGTTTCAGTCTTTTCTGTGCAAAACTGCTTGAAAATTGCTTAAAATAAGCTGAAATTCCCAAGTGTTTTTATGACTGTTCATGCAAATAAATTTTGATTACTCTCTCCTATTGCTAGTTGGAGTACCAAGAAGACTTCTTGGCACTGTAATTTTTAATTCTGTATTCCTGCAGATACCACTATAAGTCTGTCTAGATCAGTGCTGTCCTATGTAAATAACATACTGTATTGCTCAGGGTTTTTGTCTTTCTAGGTCAGTAGCTTTCTTTATTGTGTTTCCAGCTTATCTCAGTTGAAATTCTGATTGTCTTGGTACTTTCCAGGCAGTGTGGATCTGAGTGTTTTGTCAGTCAGGATGCCCACGTACTGGAGTCTCCTCCCATCATTGAGGGGAAAACTCCAAAGGGTATATGGATGGATTTCTTTGCTTTATGGATCTTGTCTGCTGTGTTGTAATCATAGGCAGGCAGCTTGACCTGGAGACACTTGAATTTCTTGGCTTTATGCACATCTTCCCCTTACGCTAGAGACAGATCTGAAGTCCTTGCTGCCTCACTTCTGTAGGAATGTTATTATCCTGTATATACAACACAGATGTCTTAATCTTGTATATATATTAACAGCTGAGACAAGGAAAGTTGTGGAGATAGGATGCTGCAAGGAGATGGTAAATCTCTCCATAGAAATTAAATGCTAAGTTGAGGGGGGGGGGGAACAAACAAGATCATGGCGATAGCAGCTCAGAACAGATGGATCTCTAATCTCTTCTGAAAGCTTGATGGTACTACTGTGGTAAACTTTGTCAACTGCTACTTCAGTTCTCAAGTTGGAAATGAAAACTTGTGGTGATAGTGTATAGGAAAAATAACAGTTTACCTCTGATCCACACATTTCCAAAGATTGTTTCTGTAGCATATCTTTTAACTGTACATCTCTGTTGGTGCAAGGCTTTTGTAACCAAGAATCATTCTGAATCATTTGGCATGAATAAAATGTTAGCATGCAAAAATAAAGGTTTGTAGGGGTGGGGGAAGTACAGAGAATGTTGTGTCACTGAGATGGGATTTTGTATTTGTTGCAGTGTGGTGAAGGTCTTCCTTGGTGGGAGCATTGGTGGGCTAACCAGCATTGTCCTGGAAAAGCTAATAGGAAACTTAAGTGGGTAATCAGTCCAGCTTTGTCTCTGAAATGTAGTACGCCATGGTATGCCATCCTGAACTGATGGGTGCTTGCATTGCAAGACAGTCTGGCTACCAGTCAAGAAAAAGAGAATATTGGTATATTGGTATATTGAGATAAGGATCTACATCATTTTGGATGAAATTTTTGGATAGCCTGTGGTTGAAAATAAGAATTCAGTATCTGGCAGGGGAGTATCGAATCTTCAGCTAGTTCAAGTGTAAACCAGTTTCAACTTAAAGCATGTGGCACTGTTAACATATTGAGTGCTTTATGGCAGTGTATGAAACTGTGAGCATTGCTTTATTGACTTGAAGTGTGGAAAGTACCAAAATGCCATGCAGAACTCTTGCTGCTAAAGCAAGGTAAGTATGCTACCATCACAGATCCTCCTAGGTCATCTCATTTATCTTGCTTGAGGAAGCTGTGTAGCTACCAAGGCATCATTTCTGCTGGAAGATGCTGGTGCTTCCAAGAGGAGTCCATGAGGCATTGTGTCGAAATGCAGGTTACAGGAAGTATATTTCAATACAAAATGCTGTGTGCGTGTGCTTTGGAGAAGAATGTTTTAATCTAGATTTTGGTAATTGTTGCAAAATACTACATATACTGCACACTACACTTAAAATCTGCATTATAAATAGAAGTGCCATTAAGATGGGAAAAAGTATGCTGCCAATTTTGAAGATGAGTAAGAAAAACAAGAGGGTCATTTTAAACCTCATTTGCTCCCCTGAAGGAGGCAGGAGTTGTCAACTTTCTGCAGAAAGTCCTGTCAAATATCAGCTCTTTTATTGAGGAAAAAATCTAAGGTTGTATGTACTGCATTGTTATTTGTGCAGGGGAAGCAAAGCTAAAATTACACATGCATCATTCACCGATTTCTGTACTGTAATACTCTGAAAATGTAAGCGTTTGAATTTTGTTTGTGCTTAATTTCTGTGTTGGTATGCTGAGTCATTGAGTTGGGGTCAAATCTTTTCTTATTCACATTTTAAACAGTTTGGTCTGTCAGAGGTTTTTAACAAGTAGTTGCTTTTAAAACGAATGATGATACAATGTTTTTGCCAATTTATAAACAAAGAGTGATTCTGTGTAACACAAACTTAATTGAACTTACATTGTCCTTATCTGATAGGAATTTCAACTGGACTGTTTAATCTTTTAAAGCATTAATCTGATTTTTTTTTTTTTTTTTAAAGCAGATTATGTCTAGTCCAGATGTTTAAAACATCAGAATTTCTGTGGAGTACTCAGGGCTGATTGAAGCAGATTGCTTAGAAATGGGTTTTGTAGCTGGGTAACCAATTGTACAATACCTGGAACCTGTGAGAGACAGGATCCTGGTCACACACAGATGACTTGCAAATTTCCTCCTTGTGAGAGGGATATGGGTAGGGAGATAGCCCTGCGTTCCTCTTGCCTAGGAAGAGGAACCCCTGCTAACATTGTGTTTGGGAAATGGAATAAAAATGCATTCATTTATCTTCTGCTTAACCTTGGTTGCACTATCTAACATTTTTTCCGTTGGTTTTCAGAGCAGTCTGTTATTTAAATGGAGTCTTTTACAGTACAAACCTTTCATATTAAAGAAGATGACCATCTTTTTCATAAATTCTTGTGCGAAGGCATCTCTGTGAAGTACTATGTTGTTGCTGTGGTTGTGAAATCAACATTAAATATAATTGCTCGTATTGTGTATTTGCTTGCGTAAATACAAAAAGAAAACAAAAGTGTTCCTACTTTCTGCTGTTGTTTTCAGGTGGCATTGATTCTTCACAGCCCGTGCAGTCTGTGAGCCAGAGCGTTCAGCTTACCAAGCCTGGGGTTGGGGCACCTGCTTCCTCTGCTCTGATATCCTCAGTGAGGACGCCGGCCCCAGGCCTTTCTTCACAGCCACGATCCTCACCCTCCATTACACAGTCACCGGACTCAGCCCTTCAGGAAGGTACTAAAAGGGAATGGGGAAATGTAATACAGACCTCTGCCCTGTTCCACGTGTGGATTTGAATGCTGGAAGCTTCATTGCTCTTTTGCATTTGTCTCACTAGTGGACTTCTCCCATCTTGTCAAGCTCCTTTAGTGTTTGTGACACTCTGGTTCTGTTTGTTTTTTACTTTTCCCTCTTGTGTTTGATTTCCTCTGGTTATATATTGTCGCTGGCTTTGCCTGCCTTATTGTCACTTGCATGTCTCTTCCTTTCAAAGCATTTCACTTAGTTCCATTAAAGAGTTGTTCACAATCCTGATATCCTAGAAGAGAGGCTTAAAAGTATCTTTTGTAATAAATCTGTTGCAAAATCAGATACAAACTAGCAATAGTGTAGCTGTTTTCGTGAAACCTGCTGCAAGCTCCTGTGGAAAGCTATTGCAGGAGTTCTGTGGGAGAACAGAGAGGCCCTTAAGTAAGGTTCTTCCTATTCTCATGTTGGTGACATCTTGATAAAGAGTGGGTCTTCAGCCTTCTGCCTTGCTGATGGAGCCACAGTGTTTTGAGTTGCCTTTTAGGCTGTTTAATATCTATGTTCCTACTATTCTTAATCTAATGTATTGCAGTGTTTTATTTCTTGCTGTGTAATTTCAGAATTTTAAATCCTTATGGAAAAATAACTCATTGTGCAGAGTGGAAGTAGACGCTGGTTTTATTCAGAACAGGGTGATATAGTTAGCCTTCAAAATAATTCTGAAAACTGTAGTGTTTGGCAATCATAGCGTGCTTTTCATTTCTAACTTTAAGAGTACTGACATCCATGTGTAAACTTCTCCTTCTCTTCCATTTCTTCCTTTTTGCCTATGCAGCGAGGAACATAAAGAAATAATTTCTGTGAAGAAGATGGAATCAATTCACAAAGATAATTATTCATTTCTACTAAGTGCTACATACAGTGTGCTGTTTCCAGGAAAATAACTCAGAGCCGTGCTTGATTCTTGCACAGTTCTGTAGATTGCTTTGGTACTGGGTAGAATTTAGTTGTACTGCAGTTGTGTTTGCTAGGAAAAAAAAAAAACAACACTGCTTAGTTTCTAAAGAAACAGCATGACCCTGTTGCAGATGAGAAAAAGGACTTAGTTGTTTAATTTTGCTTGCCTTAATGTGCTATGTATATATAGCAGATTATCTGTCTATCTATATACGTATACGTTTTCTGCAGTGATTCCTAAGTAATGTATCACATGTTCATGTGGAATTAAATGCGGATCACTGTGGTCATTGCTGAGCTCTGCACTAAATTCAAAATCATATATGTAAGTTAAGGTTTGTGCAGTATGTAGCTGGACGAGCACTCTTCACAACCAGTGTTGTGCTTGTACGTATAACAGGAATATGTAGCTAAGTCATCGGGTGCTTGCAATGAGCTAATTGTATTTACATTATTGTAATCAGTAATTTATCTGTCTCTCATCAAATGCAAATTTCTACTTTTTTATAAGTATTAGAAGACTTTGTAAACATTTTTCAATTAGTTTCTGTTGTAGGAGTCTGAAATACATAATGTATTCTTGGAATACCTTTTTAGCACCAGTTAAGTGTGATAACTTCTTTTGTAGAAATTTATCTACTGAAGAAATTGAACATATCTTCTGAATATTTCTCTGGGTTCTTAGAAATTCACACGTGTTTCTCATACAGTGATGAAATGGACTGATTTTTATCCTAACTGTAGCGTTGTCTACATGGGAATGTTCTGGAAATAAGATTTGCATTCATTCAAGTCTTAAGTGTCTTTGTTTTAAGCCCTTGTGCGGGCATTCTTATGTAGCATTTAAATATGGCAGTTGCTTAGTTGGGTAAGTTCTTCCAGGGGGGAGAAAAAAAAACACCTAAAATGTATTCAAAGCCTTTTTCGTCTTAAGTGTCCATACAGATGTAATGCAGATAAAATAATCTTCTTGGAAATGGCATCCTAGAGATGGACTTTTGTGTGCATGTATCCTGTCTGGATGTTTTTTATATACTCTCTTATGTTCTGTGTTGTTGAGAGGAACTGGTAAGTAACTGAAAATAATACAAAGCTAAGATAAAGAAGAGAGTTCACTTAGTAAAAATTACTATTTGCAATATTACAGTGTTCTTATCCTCATAGCATGTGCATTGAAAATATGAGGCTTATGCAACTGAAGACCTTTAAAATATAGTCTATTTTTGCATGTCCTTATTTCATTTTCATTCTTGGTGAGGCCTCTATTATGAAACTTAACCTACATAAGCATACAGTTTGTTTTAAAGTCTTTTATTATATGAGTGGTTGTTATTTAAAATATCTAGATAGTTGGCTTATTTCACAGACAGATGATTTCTTAGTATAGTTTAGCACTTTCCTTCCTTTTTTAAGCAAGGAATTTTTAGGACTGGAAGACTTTAACAAATTATTGGCTACGTAGACGGCACTAAGCACAATGATTAGTTATGATCACACTTGAATTGCTGTGTCAGCCACCCATGCCTGTCCCTCAGTTGCCTTCTCCCATGTGCTGGCCTACTGGCTGTGCCACTGCCCTGTGAACCAAAGTGAGGGGTTTCTGCGTCTGAGATTGACTTTTTAAATGGAGTTATTTTTCAACCAGATCAGATGATGGATTTGTTTGCGTCAGTGAACAGTTGTGCTGGTAGAACGCAGCAGTATCCTAAAGGCAGAAATTTGTACTACTGCTGGCAACAAAAATAATGTTCCGAGCTGGTAAGGTGAGAGTTCAGTCAGCCCTGCTTCCAGACTTCATAATGACCTCATAGTTTCTCATTACTAAATTACTGTCATTCACATATTTTCATTTATCTTCAGTATTCTTTCTGAACCACGTGTTGTCTTCGTGTATGAACCAGTGACAGGAAAAGGAACAGTTCTAGAAGTATGAGTGTATTCGCTTGGTTTTTTTTCCCAGCATTTTATAAAGATTCCAAAGGGGGCATAGTAGAATAACTGATTCATTCCTTTCCTTTCATTTGTCCGTGCTTGGAATTTTTGAATTGGTGTGCCCTTTTCAGGTGGATCTACTTTCCATCCTCCTCTGTCTGTGATATTTGTTAGGAATCTGTCTTTGCACTCACATGCTGTGCTGAGCTTTTGTTGTGACCTCTGTTTCTGTCACACTTCGTAACTTGTCTCGTTACCAATCTCTGTTCTGATTTTTTACTTATTACTTGCATGTCGGTGATCTTAAGTTGATTTTTCTCCTTCACCATGATTTAATTGTTGTCTTATTCATCAGGAGTTCTCCTGTGCCTGAGAGAATGACGTGGTCTCTTCAGCTGTATTCTCTTTTGGGGCAAAGAAAGTTTTTGTTTGTTTGTTTGTTTTTGTATCATTATCAAGTGCATCTGGTAGCCTTCACAGGAGATGAGGAGAGGAAACAGTGGTGCTAACTGTACAGAGAAACTAAAACATTATACTGTGGTTGTCTTCACTGCTTCCTAGTTACTGAGAAAAAACTCGATTGGAGTTGTAAGATTGTGATGTGCTAAATGAAGGGAAATAATGTCAGTCACTTTGTGCACTAAACTGTGTGGAAGGTACAGCTTCCCAAGAATGCTGTGATACACCTTTGCTCTGTTTTCTTTTTACACTCACTGTGCATAGATGCCCTTTGCCTTGACTCTTGTTTTCCTTTAGTGAAATTGAAGCAGTGCTTTGAGACTGCTTACATGAGGAAAAAAGAAAAAAAGAAGAAAAAAGGCATGTACCTGATATTTTAATTAAAATAAAGGTTGATGTAGTAGGTTTCAGTTTGCAGTTGGGGTTAATAAATACCGTGATGGTTTCAGATTGTTTAAGTTGTCATGTCAAGTTGTCATGAAGCCATGTCAGTTTTGTAGTGCTATGTAGTGTGAAGATAAAAAAACGTTCCAGTGTAATGGTGACATTGTTTCTGTGGGGAGTGAAATCCTAAACTCCTGAGTTTGGAAGATTTAGATTTCGCTGTAGTGGTCAACCAGATTGCTGGGAGGGGAAATTATGTTTCTTCTTGGTGTGTCTTTTTCTGGCTGCAAGCCTGTTTCAAAAACTGTCCTAACCCTGTCCCACAGCAAAGGAAATTTAAGAGTTCTTGGAAATGTTTAGACTTAATTAGTAACATTGTGTATTCATTATAAAATACTGCAGCGTGCTTTACTCTTTTTAAAGTGATACATGCATGTGCTGTTTTTGTGTATTGTTCACATATATTTGTTTTAAATACCGTACGTGTCTGGTTTGGAGTTGTCTGAGTTGTCATCAGATCTTAAACGTGAATGGTAATTTTTAAGTATTTAAGTATATGGGTCTACAAGCTTGAATTTAGGCACTAATTCTAAAATAACACTAAGTTTTCAGGTTTGCCTAGTTTAAATTTCACTGAAAGTGTTGCTGAAGTCTACGTTTGTATTCTTATTCCCTGTAACAGCAGTATGTTTCATTAATTTCTGACAGCTTTCACACTTTGAAAGTGAATGCCTCCTGCTTTAAAGGGCAACTGTGCCAAGTAGAAGTTGAGTATCAATGCCTTCATAACATAATTCAAAATTATCTGAGAAGGAACACATTTATGTATAGGTGTTGCTTTTTGTAGACATTCCAGGCCAAACTGCTGTTAACTGTCTATGCAGAAAGTCTATGTGTACATAATTTACACACAGAGATGTGAAACTTTCTGCTAACCTCTGTGTTACTAATACCTCACTGGCTCACTAAAAACTGCTTCTGCTGTATACTTCATAGATCAACCGTGGGTCTAGTTCTCTAGATTGGATAGGGTTGTACATTCAACTGTTTGCATGTTGGGATTTTCTCTGGAATGGCTAATATCTCTCACTTTTATTGCAATGATTTGTGACTTTTGTTTCTCATCTTTCCTGTCTGTCTGATTCTTATGTTTATGCTTTCCACTTCACAGGCATGCAGTATGGTGGATATGTTAATAATCAAGCTAGCTCTGCACCAACTCCCTTGTCATCAAGTTCAGATGATGAGGAAGAGGATGAGGAGGATGAGGAAGCAGGTTGGCTTTAGCTTTACACCAGTATCTTATTCCCTTCCTACTCAAGTTTTGTTCCATATTTCTCTCCCCTGAAATTATTTTTCTTTATTTGAGACAGAAAGTCACTTTGACTCAGTATGTATCACGTTAACTAGAGAATTCCCATACATTAAGTACTATTGCAAACAGAAAGGAGTTCAGTAGTGGTCATCAAATGTTCTTTTCATATTAATATTATGTTTGTTTCTTTTCATATTAAGATCAGATGTTTAATGTATCTCACTGGGTAATATTCTCAGCTTAGAAGACTCACTGAGTTTTAGTATTTATATTTGAAGTAGGTTTTAAATCACCAAGTGAAGATACCAACATATGGAACTCTAGACCGATAACAGTTTATTTTGCAAATAAAGCAACTGCATGCTACTTTTTATAATATTAAACAGCACTGACCTGGTTATACATTCCATGTATAGGAAAACCTTACAATTAAGGTAGTAAAGTATAAAAATATTGGAAATTTTTAAGTTTGGGTTTTTTAAGACAGTAAACTAATCTATTTCATTTTTCTTTCTTCTTTCATTACATGCTGCATTCATTACAACCTGCTTGCTTTGTGGCAACCTAAATGCAGTTACTGTTTATTAGGAAGCAGTTTCTCCTGCTTGATTGAAATGTTAGGCTTTTGGCTGCAAGGATTTTGTCTGTATTTGACAGAATTGTCTGGTTTTCAAATTCAGTATGTTGTGTTTCTTGAACGGCAGCTGTTTCTTCCAAAGAAAGCTCAAAGAAAAGTTTGCTTTGGCGGCTGTGAGGCAGATGCTGTTTGAACTTTGCTTTCTGAAGAATAGAGGGGTTTTTTTTGTGCAGGGCTTTCTACTGAGTTTTCTGCAGAAAACTATGTTTGCCTAATCCCCTCCCCCCCTCCGAGCTTCTTTTACCACAACCTTTTTTTACTTATTTTGTTCCCAAGCCCTACTAGAGACTAAATTCTCTTATTCTCTACCATCCTAAATTCTGAAAATCTGTAGTTCCATTAAAGCTTGTAGTCTTTGAACTATCATCGTTTTCAAAACTCAGGAGAGTGCAAAGGCATCTAGACTCAAAGCATAAGCTGCCTAACTAACAAGTTTCCTCTTTTATGCCCTGTCACCAGGGGTTGACATATATCCTGACAGATTTCTAGCTCTGGCTGTGCCAGTGGTTTTACAGAACACAGGTGTGTTGTACGTCTGGTTGTCTGTTTTTTTTTTTGTAGGTTCTCAAAGCTTTTTTGTACTGGGACCTTTGACTATCATGCTAACTGTGTGAAAGCTTAAGTTATTTTCATGAAAATAACTAGATAATCTTAAAAGAATGTTGTAAGTATTGCTTCTGTCCGGATAGTGTCTATAATTATTATTATTTTTTAATTTTAAAACATTTTTTCCCTTCTTCCCAGCATCCTCTGGTCTGGTGCTTAAAGCACTAACATAAATGAACAGCTGTTGAAGCTTATTTTAAGTATAGGCAGCTATTTAATTTTATGGCAGTTCTTGTGTTTTTTATTGAGGGAAAATGGTAAAATTTTAGATGCATGTAGTCACCTTAGAGTCCAGAGGTATTTCTGATCTGCAGGGAACTGCACACCTCATTGTTTTTGTAGTAAACCACATAGTTCCCAGTGGACGGTGAGGTGTGTATTAATTCTTGTCCTCATTGGTACCCTGACTATTCTGAGAATGTGTTACAAAAATGTCAACAGTCTTAAGAAGGAAAGACCTTATGTGTAAGCTCTTCAGTAAGTATATGGGATACTCTGAAGGGAATTCATGTTATTTTCTTAGGCAGATCCTGTTTGTGCTTCAGAATATCTGAGATCGTAGTTTAGCTAGAACATCTCTGTGTGTCAAATTTGCTGCTTGTTTTTATTGATACTGTTTTCTGTTTAGTAGAAATAGGACTAAGATGCATTATTTTTATTTCCAGCATGCGCTTGAAATATTTTCTTATTTTCTCTGTTTGTCAGTTTGTTTTCTCTTGCCCTCCAGGGAGAGCTTGGGAAGCATATAATGTTATTTTTTGTAACTCATTCTATCATTAATATCGTCTAAGGATAAAGAATATTTGATTTTATGTGCAACTGCATTCCAGATAGATTTCTTTCAGTGAGTACAGCTTATTGTGGAGAAAAATGTCTAACTGGTGACACAGTGGTTAAATGGGAAATCTTGAAGTTGTCTTGCATGTTCAGAGTTGTGTGTATATCTTCTTGGTATTCTTCCGAAATGCAGAACAAGCTCTTCCGGTCAGATGAAAAACAACTTACTTAAACTCTTAAGTAAATCTCGTTGACCTAGTAAAAGCATATTTTGACTTCTTAGCAGTAGGACAAAGCAAAGCTGTGCCACACACAAAATAATGAATCCGGTTTCCTTTCGTTTCTAGAACATAAAACAAACAGCAAAACCAACAAAAACTCAACCATGTTGGTACATTGGTTCAGTTTGGCCTGAAGTGGGGATGGTGCGTGATCACTCTGAAGATGATGGGAGACTTCTGTTGTTAGGAGTTGTGAAGCAGTCTGTTTTTAAAATGTTGTACATTGCTTTGTTTCATGTGATTCAGAAAGAATAATCTCTTGGAAGAATTTTTTTTGGTTTCAAGAAACAACTTTTTTGCATTGCTTTTGTCCTACCACGTGTCTCTCTTTTGCCATTTGTTTTGTGTTAGTTCCTAAAAATAAGTTGATTATTCATCTCTTCTTTCCTCTCCTTTTTGCAGTGGTAATAGCTTTCAAGTCTTAGGCCATGGTGTTTGTTGTTGTGTGGTTGTTAGGTTTTGGTTGTTTTTTTTTTTTTTGGTAATAAATCTTCACGGTTCCTTACCAGAGTTTTTAGAAAAAAATGTCTCAAAGATTTACTATTTGAGTCACCTAAGTTTTTGTTTTGTTTTGTTTTTTTTCTTAGCACTTGATAGTTCTTCTACTACTAGCAGTGCGTCTCCTGTTCTGAACAATTATGATGCCCTGGAAGGAGGTGGCTATCCAGGTAATCCATGTGTTGTTGCGTGTGAATTCTGAATTGTTTGTTTAAATTTACTCAAGTGTCTGCTGTCTGTGATTCTTTTCCCTTTCTGATGTTGATTGTTGTCCATCATTGAACAGGGGAGAGGAATTACCTTTCACGTTTATAGGAACTGGGGTAGCCTTCAGAGAGATCAAGCCTTGCTTTTTCAATCACTTCTCACAGATTTAACAGTGAAGTTTGAGTAATAATTAAGAAAAATTTCTCTGTATCACAGGCCGTAGTTTCCATCATAATATTGAGGGCAGTGCTGAAAGTGTGCTCTGTGTGTAAGCAGTTATCTTTCTCTAAGTTATGCTGTGTGCCTGATTGTGTAGGCTTAGCAGCTGATAATAGCTGAGATGCACCATGTGAAGTTTTGAGAGACCAAAGACAGCAGCTAGCAGAGATGGCTGGATCAGGTTATTTTCTTTTTATTCTTCTACATGCAAAGAAGATTTGAAAAACATAGATGGTATGCTGCTTATTTTAATCTGTAGAAATATCAGGAATGTCAGGTTTATTTTATGTGATCTAATAAGTTACCTCAGTCTTCAAATCTGTCATTTTGGGAGCAGGTGGCAAGGGTGCTTGTAGGTATGTTAGTCAATATTATGTTATATATTTTTATATTATAAATAATGGATTAATTTTGGGGGTCTGACCATCTAAGAACGTCACAGTAGTTTGCTTAGTCCATGGGTTCTTGTGTAAAGCAAAATCTATCAGCTAAAATCTTGATACTGCTCTCCCTGTTTGGTCTGGTTGGTGCAGTAAAGGCAGAAGAGACATGACTGCAGGAGTATGAATTTTAATTTTTCAGATAATAACCAAGCATTTTAGTCTTGTTGAAGAGTTATTCTGAAAATGGCTTATTCCTTATGCTTCCTTCAAAGAGTAGCAGGATTAACTTCTTTTTATTTTTACACCATCCATCTGAACTGTTTGAACCAAATCCAGATTCTTCAAGATTGTTTTTTTTGGGCGATTCACATGTCACTTCTCTTCAGATTTTACCAAGCCTAAATTCTTCTAAGTCTTATCTCGTATTCAGAAGCATTAAATTCAAAAGCGTTGTTGGTTTTGGTTGTTGGTTTTTTGGTTTTTTTTTTGTTCTTTTTTAACAATAGTTAAATTTTCTATGGATTGAGGGCTGTGTATTTACTTTCATTTTAACTTTTAACAATCCTGACTCCAAAGCTCTGCTGCAGGAATAGGAAAGAGGGACTTGGATTTCTCCAAGAAAAGCGCTATGTCTATATATAGGGATTAGTACTTTCACCTCAACGGTGTGTTTTAAGAGTATTCATAAGTGGCTGCAGGAGAGACTAAGCATCAATAGTAAATCCTGGAATATAACGTACAGAAGTGTATGAGGGTGGCTTTTGTTTTGTTGTTTTTTTCCTCTTTTAATTGAAAAACTATTTTTAAAAGTTATGGAGTTTTGGGTTTTTTTTTTTGTTTTGGTTTGTTTTTGGTTTTTTTTCAGAATGACATCTACAAGTTTTGGGTAATAGATACGCAGATCTATGGTCGTCTTCCCATGTACAACCCGTTTTTGGCATCAGCTGCAGTAGACTTAGTTGCTAATGGCTTATTTACATGCGATCAATGCAAAAAAAATCTTGCTGGATAATGCAAAAATTATAAATTGGAAAAATGTTGCTTGTTAAAATGCATTCAGGAGTTGATGTCTTAACTAAGAAATTGAAATTCTACTGAATATCTGAGGGGTATTTTTGTCCTTCCAGAGACACGCTCTGTGACCAGCAGCCCAGTTCCTACTCCACCAGCCCCTCAAACATCCAAAACTTCCAAGCCCTTTGGTTATGGATATCCAACACTGCAACCTGCCTACCAAAATACAGCACCACCTACTCCTGTGCAGCCCACTAATCCAAGCCACCATCCTGGGTTTCAGCATTATCCGCAGGTTCATATTTTATTTTGAATGTTACTTGATGTAACAAGAAGTCTTTTCTGTATATTTCTTTTTAACATTTTATGTTTGTAATTTGTGAATGAGTAAATGTTGAGTGTCACGCTGATCTCCTAGCTCTGAGTTCCTTGGAAGGCTTTTGAACTGAATTTTGAAGCGTGTTGCCAAGTAATTAAGCACAGCCACTTTGCTTTTACTAATTAATCCAGTTATTAATAGCAGCTACAATTTTAAGATTTATTGTTCTAAAGATCTATACTTCATTGATGGAAACAATAAGGAAGGTCCACTTACACCACTGAACCATCTTACAAGTAAGGTGTTTCCTGGAGTCCAGATGAAAGAGCTCCTCAAAACTGGGGTGCATGATGTGGCTGCCTGCCTGCTTATGTTCTGATCTCCTGGGTACCAGAGAGCACCAAACACCCAAACAGTTGTGTACCCAGTTCTCATTAGCAGTGCTAAGATGTGTGTAAAGGCATGTAGAAAAACAAGCCCACTGATTTGTATACGCTGCTTTTTCTGTAATAATGCTCAGCAAGCAAATGTCACCAAAGCTATTGTTGTCAGTGATCAGAATTCCTTATTGAGCTAAGCATAATACCTTAAGGAAGCATGTAGTAGCCACTAAGCCTTCCTTGGTTACAAAGGTAGTGTAAAATATGATATATAGAGAAAATGCTTAATTTTCAATTGAAAAAAAAATCATTCTATTCAGTGTAGATTTGTCTACATGTTTTTATGTTTTTGTGTTTTTTAGGAAAATCAAATGCCACTTGAGCATCAATTATTGATTTGGAAAACTTACAGTTTTGTGATCTCTTTTAAAAGTGTTAGTCATTTTTATTACGATAGCTTAGTTTTAATTTAAATGTCTTACGTAATGAATCTGAAGTTGTTTTAAATTAAAACCGCTAGGCTTTAAAGGTACCTGGTTTTATCTTCCTAAGCTTTCAAGAACATTGTAGTGTCCTTTCGTAAAAATGGCAAGGCTTATTATGAAATTCTAGACTTCTCTTTCTTTGAGGAGACACAAGGAGAAGAGAGCATCTTAAATTCAGTCTCCAGTCATATATCACGTGTTGTATAGTGAAGAGAGAGCTAGGTTCTTTTCAAGTGTACACAGCAATAAGGATAAAAAAGTGCTGGGTGCGAGAGGAGAAATTCCAGTTGTACGTATAAAGTGAAAATTCTCCAGAATGGGATTGGGGAAGCATTAAAACAGATTGTGCTATGAAGTCTTCTATCCTTGAGCACTTTCAGAATTTACCTGGCCAAGACTGTGAGCATTCTTATTAGCCCTGCTTGATGAGAGAGTTTTGGACTGCCATCTCTGACATGCCTTCTAACCTAACCTTTTCTCTTCTTCTGTGGTGGTTACTGTATTTAAAAATAAATGTATTTATGTATGTTTAAAATGTTTTTCTTTAATTTGGAGGAATTTCGCTAACATCTTCAAAGAGGGAAGAAATCTCCTCAGTCTTTCTAGTTAGGCATTTCTCCTTATCCTGGAAAGCTTAAAGCTTTCAGCTGTCACTTCCAGTGACAGTTCGTAGTTTGAATTTGGTCCCGGGAAACATATTTTAAATCACTGCTGTGAAACGATATTCTTGTTTGTCTGGTTTTGTTGTTACAACTACTGTTGGTATCCTTTTTAATAGAGCTCTGGAAGAAGAAAAATTACAAGAAGATTTAAGATAGTTATGTAAATGTGACTGTGTGTTTATCAGTTTGCAATGCTCTTGGGGCATTTCGTTTTTTTCTTTTTTTCAGCAATATCCAGGTGTGAACCAGCTGTCCTCTTCCTTAGGAGGGTTAAGTCTGCAGCATTCTCAGCAGCCAGAAGGCTTGAGACCTGTAAACCTTACACAGGATAGAAATATTTTACCTGTATCTTCAGTTCCAGCTCCTGTGCCGAACTTGAATTCTGATCTTAGGAAATTAAACTGCAGTCCGGAGTAAGTATACTGCGTCTAAAAGAATGTGTTATGTGCTTCAGTGACGGCTTACTTATTTTTTGATGTTACAAATAATTTAAAACAGGCTACTGTTTTGAATTCTTTGTAATAGTATAATTCCCTTGACTCGAAAATAAGTTTGTCGTCTGCATCTTTATGCAAAATATGAAGTTGTCCTGCCATCAGAATGCTTTATATGCAGTATGAGTGTAGCTTAAAACACAAAGAAACCTGCTGCATCTTTGCCTTATGTTATCTGTCTTTAAATAAATAAAAGAATACATACTAAAACACCTTGACATCACACAGTACCATTTCATGGAATTTTTTTGTAATATTGCATAGGATTTTGTTCCAGAAAACTGTGGTGACTGTACAATTAATATACTAAATAAACTGTATGTTCAACCATTGTAATACTGCAATTACGATGAATAATTTTACCTCCAGTTAACATCCATCTGCTATTTCAAGTCAGGTGCATCTCAATATAGTGAAAATTGCTTTCCCCCCAGGCACTTTAATTCTAATTAGAAAAGGATATATATTCTTTGCTCCAGATTAACTCGTATGGCTGCCCTGTTGGCAATGCACTGTCCCACCAGAAAATAGGTCAGAAATGAGGATATAATCAGTCTTAGGCATGTACAGTACTGCTGACGCTTTGGGTTTCTTTAGTACTACTTCTGATTTGAAATCAGTCCTGTACTTTGTATTGCGTGAATATAAAAGGTTTTGATCGTCTTGGTATTTTACGTGCTCTTCTGCTGCTTTCTTTTACATAAATTTTACTTTCTTGGACTAGTGAATGCTCGATTCCTTCTTTAGTTCCCTTGTTAAAACAAAATAAGATTTTGAGAATGAATAAAACCTGTCATTTTAAATTAAACGTTGTATTTAAAGCAGTTCTTTCTTTGTTTCAAGTTTGTTTTGCTGTATATGTATTACAGAACTACTTAAGTGATGTAGGGGAGTCTTCTTCAATTCTTCTGAAAGTTTTTTTTAATTCCTTTTCCATTACTCTTTAAATCAGCTTCGTAAAATACAGGTTTTCTTAAATGTCAGGGTTCTTTAAAATCAGGAGTTAACACAATGTTTTTAGCATCTTTAAAACAAAATAATTTTCAATGAAATGCTTTTATTTCTTTTCAGTTCATTTCGATGTACATTGACAAATATTCCACAGACGCAGGCTTTGTTAAATAAAGCTAAACTTCCTCTGGGTTTGCTGCTACATCCCTTCAGAGACTTAACGGTAAAGTAGCTTACTTTTTTATTATATTTATTTAATATATTCTAATATCCTTTTTGGATCAGACAGAACAAGATAATATGACCTGTAATTACTAAATATAACAGAATTTGCTGGAAAAAAAAAAAAGTTTGGGAATCAAAAGAGAGAATTTAAATCTTGAAATTGCTGCCTCATTGAAATTGATAAGGGAAAAGCTTGGGACTTGCCCTTCTTTTTTTTTTTTTTTTTTTTTCATATTGTTGAAATGGCGAACAAAGATTTGTTTGCCGGTGGTTTTCTGGAGCTCTGAATTGAAGGTTGGATTGTGGGGATCAAAGCTATAGGACGCTTTTTGAGAAGGTGTTCACAGTGCTTTCTTGAAAGGCAGTGCTAACATGACAGCACTTATTGTGCCAGTAATACAGGCAATAGATGCTACACACAATATAAGACTGAAAGGTAGAAACTGTGTTAAGGCTGTTGAGCTGCTGTTCCATTCCATCTAGCTTGTTTATAATTACGTAAAAAGGTTGACAAGTTATCTGATACGGCCTTCTTTTATTTCTTTGAATTTTTTGGCATGTAAGGTTTGCTGTCTGAGCATCCATGGTCACAATTTGTCCTTTAATAACTAATCTTGCTGTAGTTAGCCTTATTACTATGGCTGACTAATTTTATTTAAAGTAGTGTAGCATCTGAGATTAATGAGTTTGGATTAAGACAATTGGAATTATTACTTCTGATCTTAAAGAGATTTTTAATAGGCATTGTTACACACTGTGAAAATGGTCTAGAAAAGATCATGAAAAATGATAGAATGTGTTTTGAAGCTTTTATACACTGTGCTGCACAATAATGGTCTTCATAAAATGTATTAGCTACCTTTGTAACAACTTTCTCTTCTTTCGTTTTAGCAATTACCAGTGATAACATCAAGCACAATAGTGAGGTGCAGGTCCTGCAGGACATACATCAACCCTTTTGTTTCTTTCATTGATCAAAGGAGATGGAAATGTAATTTATGCTATAGAGTTAATGACGGTAAGTTTTGTAACAGAAGAAGCTTGCATTAATATATTTCTAGTATTTGCATTGTATCACTCCATGGGATATTCTTAAATAGATTAAAATGATAGTAATCTGAAGATGTTTTTTTAAGTATCTGGATTTTGTCAGATATTGTGCATTTTTTAAGAAAAAATCATTTTGCAATTCTGTGGGAGACTGAAGATATAATCAAATTACCCCGACTTACTTGTGTAATAAAATCAATTTACACCACCGACTGCCATTGTAACGTGCAACTGGACGGATGATGACAGCTAAATACTGTGTGCAATCTAAGCTAGATATTATGATAAGCAGTAGAGATTGAAGCTTGTTGTGAAAGACTCAATTTGCATTCCTTCTTTTAACGTTTGGGTTATTTTACTGTTGAAAATGAAGCTTTTTTCATTTCTAGTTTCTTAACTTTGATGTATGGGATGCTTTTTGTCTTGTATCCTTAATGCGAATATTTTTCCTCTTAATTATTGAAATCTGTCTGTGTTCATTTCAGTAATTGTTTTTATTTGCTAGCAAGCATATAAATTCTGGAAACTTTTCTTTTTTTCCTAGTCCCTGAAGAATTTATGTATAATCCTCTGACGCGATCTTATGGAGAGCCGCACAAACGGCCAGAGGTCCAAAATTCTACAGTGGAGTTCATTGCTTCCTCTGACTACATGGTAATAAATAAATTGTTGTGGTGAGCTTCCACAAAATTGCAAGTTAATATAAATGCACTTGAAGTTAACATTGAACCTGGCATGTTGCTCAGGTGATATGTAGTAATTTTCCTATAAAGGTACTCCAAGACCAGAGAACACTTAAAGCTCTTTTTTTTTTTTTGAGTTTTGGCAAATGTACATATTCAATCCAGTGCACTTTAACATTACACAGTCTGTTTTGATTGTGGTACAGTGCAGTTTCTGGATTTTCCCTTTTAGTGAAGAGGTTTTGAAAAGCTGGTTGTGAAATAACAAGAGAGCTGGGTTCAAATTATTATTATGTTTCTAACCAGTAATCAACCTAGGATTGCTGTAATAGTAGTCTTGTCTTAAGAATGATAAACAAAGCTTGGAAATTGGCCCTATTCATAATGACAGTGTTAATGGCAGCAAAAGTGAATTGCTCTTTTGAAATGGAATTGGAGCACTGTGGCCAAGATGTTTGGGAATGAATAAGTAGAGCTTGCTATGTAGTTGTAAGACTATTTCTAGCACAGATTAATGTATCGTGTTGTCCACATTCTGAAAGACCAGTGAGTTTAGAAGAGTAAATTCTGTATCTGGGAGAAAAACTTGATGCTAGAGTTCAGTGTTGGAAGGAGAGTCTAACAAATCGGTTTTTTGTTCTGAAACATAATGTTGTATACTGTTGCAAATAAGGAGTGTTAACCACTGGGAATTATTTTTATGTAAGAATTTATTCACCTGGCTGTTAGTTAATTTTATTCTTTGGTACGATGTGTAGCTTGCATTATTTTAAATATTCCCTTTGTCACCCTTCTATTGACTGATGTTCTTTAACATTTCTTTAACTATGATTTTTGTGTTTCTTTTTTTTTTTTTTTTTTTCCCCCACTTTGTAGCTTCGTCCTCCTCAGCCTGCGGTATATTTATTTGTTCTAGATGTCTCTCATAATGCAGTGGATGCTGGGTATTTGACAATAGTCTGCAATTCATTGCTGGAAAACCTGGACAAGTAAGAATATAAGTAATCTTTTAAAATTAGCTAATAAGTGATTATGAATTGTAGTAACCTAAAGTTTTGAAGACAACTTGCATATGATGTTTAAAAGTGCTGTCCCTCAGGGACAGAAGTTCACAAGATTCTGAAATGAAACATTCACGTCTTAAAAACAGGAACAGCAGTAATAACAGTGCAATAAAATAGCCCAACTGAGAAGTGTCTTCCCATTTTGTGGTTAAAGGTGGATCTGTGAAGAATATAGAGCTGTAATTTCTAAGAATATGAACAAAGATGTAAAGTGCTCATTTATAATTAGGAACTACAAAAACAATTAAATGACAGATTTTGGCCAGCCTTCAGATGCTGAAACAGCTGAGGTGCTGCATAACGAAATGTTGTAACGGCTAGTGTGAAGCTGCCTAGTTGAATTGTACAGTCAGTTTGGGTTTTTTAGATCAGTTAGCTGTGTCTATCTGTGGCACCTTCTGTACGTCCCTCATTTTTGCACTAGAACAACATCTGGAATTTTTGTTGGTGCTTTTTGTGGGAGGACCGATGAACTTCACTATGCTCGTGCGTCTCAAAAAATGATACGCATCGTATGGAAACCTTTCTTTGAAAATTCTTTTCCACAGCATCTTATTAGGAAACTTAAAATTTTCCTTTTTGATAAAGGCACCGACACATACATCAAATTCTTCACTTACAAATACTATATTAGTCTTTGTTCAGAGTCTCATTTTTAGGAAAAATAAAATGCCGTGTGTTTTTAATGCCGTACATAAGAATATGGGCCACCAACCTCCCCATTTAATACTAGACCCAAGGCTCTGTCCAGTCTGGCCTTGCACACCTCTGGGGACAGGGCATCCACAACCTCTCAGGGCCTGTTCCAGCACCTCACCACTCTCTGCAAAGAACTTCCCTCTGACATCCAACCTAAATCTTCCCTCCTTCGACTTAAAACCGTTTCCCCTTGTCCTGCAGTTATCAACCCTTTCCAAGAGTTGATTCCCCTCCTGTTTGTAGGCTTCCTTTAGGTACTGAAAGGCTGCAATGAGGTCATCCTGCAGCTTTCTTTTCTCCAGGCTTCCTCAGCCTCTTCGTAGGGGACTGTCCTTTTCTGTTCTCTTCTCACCTTCATAAGTGAACTGATGAACTTTAGCAGAAGCTTTACATATGTATGTTCTTTATGAGTGAGAAATGTAGAGCCTAATAGTTGTCTTTTTCTTCTGCTAATGCTTAGGCTGCCTGGAGACTCAAGAACAAGAATAGGATTCATAACATTTGACAGCACTGTTCAGTTTTATAACTTGCAAGAGGGTTTATCTCAGCCTCAGATGCTCATTGTTTCAGATATTGATGGTGAGTCACAAGAAAGCGGAGACATAAATTTTTGTATTTTGTCCCTCTAACAGAAAGATTTGAGTCTCTTGAATATTCCAGTGTTTGGTGAATTTTATTGAATTTATAGGGAATATATTTTTGAAAAATAATCATATGCTATCTACTGAATACTTGATGCTTAAAAAGTGAAAATCAAACATTAACTTGGCTTTGAATAAAGCAAGCTTTGTTACTTATCTCTCAGAAAAAGTAGATCTTATTTGGTGGCAGTTACAGCAGTGAGCAATGAAATGTTTTGTTCTATGTTAATGTTGTTGTTTCCTTATTAACTTTTTTCCCTTTTTTCTACAGATATTTTCCTACCTACACCAGATGGCTTACTAGTAAACCTCCATGAAAGCAAAGAGGTATGGTTACTCAAAATTAGCTTATCACAGTTAAGCAGTTAAATATTCATAATGAAAGTTCCTTTTAAAGTTTGAATTCAAGACTATCTGCATAATGTGTAAATGTAATGTTACTTCCTAGCTATCAAAAATATTACACTTCTTTTGGCACGTCATTTTTTAGCGTTACTATTTTGTTTTCCCCTCTCGAAGCTAAGCTATTTGGTATTGATTGTTACGGCAATACAACTTGTTAGAAATAGCAGAAAATCTGAAGCTTGCAAATCTCATAAACAGCTTTTAATCTGTCTTTGCAGCTAATAAAAGATCTGTTGAATGCATTGCCAAATATGTTCACTAATACAAGAGAAACGCACAGCGCCTTGGGCTCAGCTCTTCAGGCTGCATTTAAACTGATGTCTCCAACGGGAGGTCGGATATCTGTTTTTCAAACTCAGTTACCATCCTTGGGTGCAGGGCTTTTGCATTCCAGAGAAGATCCCAATCAAAGGTCGAGCACAAAGGTATAAAAGCTTAGGTATACATCTCAGGAGTCTAGTGACTGGGCACTTCTCTCTGACTTGCAGAGCTTGCAGATCATTATTGCAGTTCACTAAATTTGAAATGCACAGAGTTAACGAATGTGTGCGGTCACTAATTTAAGCATACATTTGTGGTACTGCGCATGAACTGTTCTTTGGGCCTTTGGTCTAGAACTTTTCTTGACAAGGAAAAGAAAGCGTGTGCATCTTCTAATCCATTTGTCTTCAGCTTGGGCTTTGAGTGTACATAAGAGGAATGTATTGACCTGTACACTTCAAACATGATTTCTTAATGTATTTATAAGGCCGACAACAATATCTACTAGTTTATGTGTAATTATATTAACTTTTATTTGCATGAGTGTGTAAACTTCTCTAAAAGAATTATAACTGCTTATAAAGGTGAACTAAAGTAACATGCAACATAAAATTTTATTTAAAAGTGCCTATAAAGAATTGCTTAGAGGTAACTTTTGCTATTAAACAGTACGTCTGTTGTTTCTTAATGTCTTAAGGGAGCACATTCAGCGGTCTAATTCTTTCCTGTGTAATTTTTCACCAAAGGTGGTCCAGCATCTTGGTCCAGCGACAGATTTCTATAAAAAGTTGGCATTGGACTGCTCAGGCCAGCAGACTGCTGTGGATTTATTTCTCTTAAGTTCACAATATTCTGATCTAGCTTCCCTTGGTAAGGAGTACCTAACACATGTGTTTATTCTTTCCGTAGTGTTTGTCTTAGAAAGCACAGGCTACTTCAAGAATTCTTTAATTGTGTCACTCATTTTGCACTTCTGTAAATGCAGCTAATGCTGCTGAGGTGTTGACTTTGAAGTTGGTATCAGTAAAGAACAGGAGTATTGGATTAGTGTCATCAAAGATAATTTATTCTGAGATCTCAGGTTTAAACCAGGAAGTACCTTTCTACTCAAAAACAGAAAGCAGTCTGACGGCAGGAAATGAATGAAGTTTAATCAGAGGGGAGAGCTGTGAGCTGTTCTCACCTTTCAGTACTAAGCCAAAATTTGTCTGTGCACAGCTTTGATAGTGCAGACAACCAGTATTTGGATGTGCACTCCTGTCTTAGTTGCTGAAGGTAGTTGGGGATATTGAAGTAAATGGTCACTGCGTGTTGAAGTGACTTAATATTAATGTCTTCAGTGAACTGAGTCACAGACAGATCTTGTCATACAGATGTAGTTCACATCGGGGGAAAAAGGTCAATAGAGATGTGGCTTGCAGAACATTGTATGCAATTTTTACGTCTTGGTTTACTTCTTCACCGTATCTTTTTGTTCTTCACAGCTTGCATGTCCAAGTACTCTGCAGGATGCATCTATTATTACCCATCTTTCCACCATAGCCATAATCCTGCTCAGGCTGAAAAACTGCAGAAAGACCTTAAAAGATACCTTACCAGGAAGATAGGATTTGAGGCGGTTATGCGCATAAGATGTACAAAAGGTATATTAAGATACTGTTACATGTGAGAAAGTTGATGTAAACATTTGAACTGTTACTTTGAATGCGCTTATCTTTCACTGAAGAATAAGATACTGGCAACTTCCGCAGCAGCTGTTACATTAACATTTTCCATTTGGGTAACAGGGTCTTTTTTTTTTCTTTTTTTTTTTTTCGCTTTGTTTAGTTAAGATTGTGCCATTTCAGTTTCAATTTAGTTGAAATGTATAGTGTAAGAGCAGTAGTCAGTTTGGAGTGTCAGAATTGAACACGAAATCTACAGGATCAATCTGAAATGTCTGATGAGTGTAGTAATTGATTCTGCTTAATATTTGGTGTAAATATTTTCAGTATATGTTTCCGTGTTTTTAAACATAGAGTGCTTGTGGGCTTTAAATATTTACCAGAATTTTTCACACTGTTAACTGTACTGTCTGAATTATTTGATCTACTTGTAGGTCTCTCAATACACACTTTTCATGGGAACTTTTTTGTCCGATCTACTGACTTACTGTCTCTCGCCAACGTCAATCCTGATGCTGGGTTTGCAGTACAAATGTCCATTGAGGAGAGTCTGACTGACACATCTTTAGCTTGTTTTCAAACTGCTCTTTTGTACACCTCCAGCAAAGGTAATGAATGAGATTCAAATGAATTTGGCACTGTTCGTGCTTGTTTTGTTTTTACTATGATGTTTGTATGTTTGTATAGCTAGTTGCACAGGTCTTTGTTTATCTTCGTAGCCTAGGGGAATCTTTTCAAAATTAGGGAGCCTGCTTGGCAGTTAGTCACATTCAGTAAGTCTTCACAAACACTATTTTGTTGGAGGTTGGTAGTTTATCTCCATTTTAAGTAAAGTAATCTTGCTGAAGAATTTTATTTAAAAGTCATACTACTGTTTTAAGCAGTAACGTGTTTGATGAAGAGCTTGTATCTCGGGTGAGAGGAGATATGCTCTCCTGTTGTATATCGTCTGCTGCCAATGGATACTGCGTGATGATTCCTACTTTTTTTTGGTAGGTGAACGTCGAATTCGAGTGCACACACTTTGCTTGCCTGTAGTAAATTCACTGACTGATGTGTATGCAGGAGCTGATGTACAAGCAGTTGTATGCCTCTTAGCAAACATGGGTGAGTACAGGTCAGAAAGATTAAAATATCTTTTCTCCTGTTCTCTTTAAACAAAGTCGTGAATGAAGCCTGGCTATTCCTTTTCCTGTTGGTTTTCCTTTGCTTGAAAAAGAAAGGAGCAAGATGAGAGTACTTCTGATATTCTCCTCTATGCGTTAGTTTCCTGTTATTGCTGGGTTGAGGAACCTTGCTGATCTCCTACTTGCTGGTCATCAGTTGCTATTTCAGTGGCAGAATGATCTCTGCCATGGAATGTGCATGGCTCGGTAGGATTCTAGTGTATGGCAAATAAATCAGAAAAAAATAAACGGTACTTCCATATGTTCTTGTAAATGTGCATTCAGTCCAGCAGGTGGCTTACTCCAACCAAAAGATTTGTAGCCCTTTCTCAGCAGAGAAAAGTGAAGTTCAAGTTGCCCTATCCATTGTGCCATTGAAGTGATGGGAGAAAATGCATCTGTATACCACAGATTAAACATATTATTAGAACTCCTCAAGAACGGGAATGAGAAAGTACAGATCAGCGTGGTGCTTTTTTTTTTTTTTTTTTTTTTTCCTTTGAGCATCATAAAAGGGATCTTTTCTCTATGGAAAATGGAGCAAATGAATTAAACTCGACTAACTTCTTTTATCCTTCTATCCAACAGCTGTGGATCGCTCAGTTTCATCTAGTCTTCCAGATGCAAGAGATGCCTTAGTTAATGCTGTGGTAGACTCTTTGTCAGCATATATGTCAACTGCCTCAAACCTGCAGCAGTCTATGCTGATAGCTCCAAATTCCCTCAAGTTGTTTCCACTCTATGTTTTGGCTCTTCTCAAACAGGTGTGTGTAAGTTAGAGCTATTGATGTTTGATTCATGGTTCAGTTTGAGTAATTTTTCACCTAGATCAAGCAGTGTCTGTCTTATGCTATAATTATCCAAAACTGTATATATAGTTTAATTATATATGTATATGTTTAATTGAACTTGAAGGATCAAAACAAAAATTAGCTTATTTAAATTATTAGTGCTGAAACAGGTTTTTGTTTTACTTGAATTTGTAGTTTTTAATAGATATATATATATTTTTTACTATGTGTGTATATATAGTATATAAAAAATACATAGTAATTCTTAGGTTCTTGACAACTAATTAATGGTGCCCAAAGGGATTCTCGTAAGCCATTTACTAGTAATTCATTTTATTTTATGAAGAAGAAAACCAATAGTTTTCAGTGCATATTCTTTGTACTTTCACGTACTAAGAAGGAAAATTAGTTACTGAGGAAGAAGGGAATATTTTAAAGTTATTGTAAAATTAGTTACTGTTTTTTAAGAAATATCTTCATTCTTTCTTAAAGAACTCATTACTTGCATATAATGAGAGCTTACCATACACAGGCTTTTATGTTCGATAAATGTCTTAGCTTTAAGAGTGTTGTTTGATAGTTGAATGTTCTTTCTTATTACAAACAAAGTTTTCCGTAAGTTCAGTTGTAAATCTTACTGAAATCATTTTTTCTTTGATGTAGCGATGACTTTAGTGACTAATATACTGATTAGGTCTTTTTAACCATTACGTCAGTTAGAATGGGGAAAAAATGACCATTTGATATCAGGAGAATCCGTGTAAAAGACAGATTAGAAGTAATAGGGGATGTGGAAATAGTTCAGTGCAGTTTTAGAGTTATCTCCATTAACAATAATAAAAAAGCCTGAAATAAAGGAAAACTGCAACTGGAAGAAAAAAAATGACTGGCATGCATAGCTTCGGTAGAGAAGTGAATTTGCATTTTGATTATAGGAATATTGTTCTCCTTTCAGTCAGGTGCTTTCTCCGTCGTGTTGTTTCTCACAGCAGTAGTTTACCAGTTGTTCCTAAAAAGAGCTGAAATGTTAATAGTAAGGAGAGTTATAAAATGAAAGTTATCCTATGATTACCTACTTTCTGCTACAAAATGTGGAAGTGTATTTCCATCCTGGAGCTTTTCCTTAGCATTTTATTTTTAGTAATATAAAATCAGATTTAATCTTATCCTTGCAAGTATCATTTTTGAACCCTACTGGGTTCTTACCTTCCTGTGGTCATTGTGTCAGTGAGTAAGTCAGTAAGGCTTGTCAGGAATGAAAATGAGAAATGCCAACCGTGTACAAATGTTACATGAAATAGAGGCATTTTTAAAAATCCTTCTTTTTCATCTATAAGAAGGGATAAGTGACTAATTTTGTAATTATATTCTATTCAAGTTGCATTTGAAGGAATTTTCTAGCGTAGTGCTAGTATTTCATTTTAAAAATAGATTTTTTTAACGTCTGAGACAGGTGTGCTTGACTCTACCAGAATTTAGGAAATAGGCTGTTTAGGTGTGACATAAAACACGGGAATTATTTGAGTAACAATGTTTTTTTGCTTTTTTTTTTTTTTCCACAGAAAGCTTTTAGAACAGGCACTAGTACGCGCTTAGATGATCGTGTTTATGCAATGTGCCAGATAAAGAGTCAGCCTCTTGTTCACATGATGAAAATGATACATCCCAACCTGTACAGAATAGACAAGTTGATTGAAGAGGTAACGTATGAAGCCTAACTTGTAACATTTTCAAGCTGTAATGGAGCGTCTTTTAAGCTTTAATGTGTTACAGTAATTTGTAAACGAGGCATTTTTCACATGCGTGCTGAAGAGAACTTCTGTTTTTCTTCATCTTGTTTCAGTGACTACAATAATTCCACAGTTTTCAATCATATAAAGAAAGCAGAGATTCTATGCTTTAGATGCATATCCGGTGTGTTTCAGTTGTAGAGTTGTCTGGGGAGAAATGGATGAAATATAATGAGTACAGAATATTTGATCTTGTGTGCTGAAACCAGATCAAGATGACTGGTGTAACCAGCTTTCAGTCGTTTCTGTGATGTGGATGAAGTCTAGACTATCAAGATCAGGCCGATTAAATATTCTAAGAAAACTAGTTCTTAATTGTGTGCTTTTTACAGAGGTGGTCTGGAAAATGAATTTAGTGGTAAGAAGTAAGATGAGATTTTACTTACAAGCAAAGGCAGCTGTAACTGAAAGTAAGTTAGTTGTGTTTTTAATAGTTTTCGTGAGCTGATCAGTCATGCTTAGTTACAGCCCTTACACTAGCTTTGCAAAAAAAAAAAAAAAACTTGACATGTAAGTGTTCATTTTTAAGTATCATACAAACTTATATAGGCAATTGAGTACTTGCTCTGGCAGTTAATATTGTTCAGCACAACCTGTAAGCTATTTACCTTGTCAAAATGTCTTTTAAATTATTCCATAAATTCACAGTATTCTTCAGCAGTATTGACTTGTCAGGCTTTTCAGATTTTTATTTTTTGTTCCCCCTATTTAAGAAGTGAACTTCAAGTAGCCCTATCGAGATCGTTTCAGCACAAGTGCCATTAACAACACTGCGTTTCAGAGTCTGAGTGCTGTAGAAAAGCAAAACAAAGAAAACCAACAGCAGCAATCTTTTGGGGAGATTCAATTTTATTTGCAAAGGATTTCAGATAAGTCGCTTCCAGTGGAACAATAAAGCATAGGGTCTGTTTAAATGTTAGTTAAGCCTCATGTTAAATTACGTAAAGGAGTGTTAATCTGCTGTTTAATATTGGCTCACTTTGAAATATTTATGTGAATTGCTGCTCTTAAATCTCTTTCTGTAGAAAATTGTAAGCTTTAAAAAAAATTGCAAATTTTTCTTTTAATACTCAATTCTTGGACTATTAAGCATAGTATGGAACTTCTACAAGTGAACTGCAGTAGCTTAATTTTCATGTTTGCATATAAATCCTGATTTCTTTTGTATTATAATATGGAATTTTTATTTATTAATTTATTTGTTTGTTTGTGGTCTTGTTCTGTGTGGGGATGTGTTTAGCCTCCAGAATGTGTTGCTCCTTATTCACTAACTGTTTCACAGATTTCTTCATAGCTATTTAGCTTTATCCCATTTTAATCTGAAATATGGCTGGATGTTGTTTTGGCTCGTTGGTTTTTTTCAGCATTGCTATGGCTTAATGAACTTATCATCTAAAAAAAAAAAGAATAATATAAAGCAAGCTTTGGTTAAATGACAAGTTAGAATTTGTTGATACAAGTGTGATCATATAGATGTAATGTAGCATTTTTTACATGAGAATGCTCAAAATGTTGCTGGAGATTACCTGTGCTTTTTCCTCTTTTGGCACATCTGGTTAAGACAAAAATAATGATGTACGAATTTTTTTTATATTACTGTGTTACTGCCTGTTGTTTTCTTTACAGAGTACAATACATGTGAATGACAGAGTTGTTCCTCAGCCTCCTCTTCAGAAGTTATCTGCAGAGAAGTTGACAAGAGAAGGAGCTTTCCTAATGGATTGTGGTTCAGTAAGTTACTAGTTTTATATATTCAAGATGCATTCCGAATTGTTGAAAGCAGTCAGTTTTCAACAATAGTTCCAGTGTAAGGCTTTCATAGTTTGGTCTCTGGAACATCTATAATACAGATTGTATATTTAGTTGCAAAATGTTCCTTTTTTCACACTAAATAAATTGGCCAAGAACCATAGCTGGGACCTTACAAGAGTTCGTATCGACTCTTTTTTCTGACAATAACGGATTTCCATTTCCAAAAGTTTCTTTTAATGGATATTAAACTGCACGGGCTAAAGTCTGTCTAACAAAGCACTTAGCCATCGAGGGAGGTGCTTTCTCAGTTATGCACAACTCTAAGTGATTTTATGGTATGTGGCTCACATGAGGTAAGAGTTGCAAGAACAGGGGAGTTGTAGGACTTGATTAAAACCTGTAAATACAGTTGAAGTTAATCTTAGGAATTACCCAAAAAACGCTTACTGGTACAAAACGTGCTACTCTTGTAATGCAATAAAATATTACACTGCTCTAATGGCACTGTAGAAGGAAAGCACTTGAGGGTTCGGGAGCTAAGTGTGAATGTCAGACTAGTTGCTCTCTCCTTAGGTCAGCAGTAATTGTTTCAGTGTGTTTTGATACATGCTGCTTTGTGTAACTTGGTGAGAGTGGAAGTCCGTGTGCGGAATTGGATCCGGTGTGCGACTTCAGTAAGATCTAGGTTTTCTATTTTATGAGGTAAAATGCATTCACTGTACCAACATAGACACATCCTGCATCTTTGCTCTTTCCTTATTTGCATTTTAACTTTATTTTTTTTACTTTTTTTACTTTTAATGATCTTACTCCAAATGGTACCAATTATTCCTAAGGTAGGGTTGAATTAATGAATATAGAAGTGGAGTGTAGCTGGTGACACAAGCTCTCAGGTGATAAATTTGCATGAATAGTGTTTCCTGGTAATATTGTAATTACGTTACTACCTGTCTCCTTGTCTAAAATGTAGGTACTAACCTTTATTTAAACTGATTCTGATATCTTACAGAATTTTTATATTTGGATTGGAAAGAACTGTGATAACAACTTCATAAAAGATGTCCTCGGATATCCAAACTATGCGTCAATACCCCAGAGAATGGTAAGCATTTACTGATCTGTCCTGCTTAGTGCTTACATTTGGAATCTGTATTTAATCTAGTTTTTGTGCACTGTCAGTTTTTAATCATGCAATTGAGAATAAGATTTTTTTTTTTTTATAACTCGTGTCTCACTTCTTGACAACTCCCTAGGATGCAGAACTTGTCAAAAGCTTTTAAGGAAAGAATGTACATGTGTTCACTGAATGACAAAAATTATTCATTAACATTACTGCTTTTGGGACTTCTGTGGGATTATTTGTTTTTTTTAATGCATGTGGGCTTACAAAAATAGTGTGGAATTTTGCAGATAACTTTTCTTAGACCTTTTTTAAAATATTCGAGTAAAGTTCTGAATGGAATTGTTGCATTTGTGATTTCTAAAAGCTAAATCTAAATGTGTTTTTGTGGAAGCGCATAGGAAGAAATTTGCTGCTCATAGAGCTTGAATAGCATGAAGGGAAAGAGCAAATGAAATTGGAAGTTATGAGAACAGGTCAGAAAGATCGGTGAGCTTTAAGACTGCTATAAAATTGAATGCTTGTTAAGGGTTTTCTATTTTGTTCATATTAGCAACTTAAAATTGTTTCCTTGTATTATAACTGGTGGTAGAATTAGTTGACGTTTTCAGGAAACAAAATGAGAGGATGGTTAAGAAAGTATCAGGTGGTTAGATAGCATTTATTTTAATGAAAAACGAGAGAAAAAAACTAACACACGAGTGTTCATCTTTGCTTTTAAGCTATATCCTTTACTCATTTAATGCAAAGGCAGCAGCAGAACTGTTTTTAAATGTGTGGATTTTTTTCACCATATTAGTCATTTAACATTGTATCAGAGCAGGAGGCAGTGTATTTATCTCAGTGAATGACTCAAGCAAGCTGATGTTTTGTTTGGTTTTAGCCCATTCCCAATCAAATAGTCAGCTGTCATCTTTGCTTATGATTCAGATTTTGTTTCTCTGTGTTTTATTTCACCTCTCAGTAGTGCAAAAGGCAATTCAGAGGAACTTGGTCGACAGGGGAAGAAAGCAGGGAAAATGTGCAAGCAGAATTTTAAAAGGATTATTTCCTAAATGAGCTCGCTTTCTAAAATCTTTGGCACTTCAAAGGCAACTTAGGTTAAAAGTGTGTTATGTTCTGTATAACAGATAAATACCAAAATTCTGTACTTCAGCTGAAGAGAAAATACGGCTACGTAGTACACAGTAATTTTGTAATAGAAATGGTGGCTATTTTGTCATTGGGTCACGTTGTGAATTTCAGGATCTGTTTATGAAGATAATTTTGATAATAAAAGGTAACTTATTTCAATTTCTTTCAACCAGACGCAGCTTCCCGAGATAGATGCACTTTCTTCAGAAAGGACACGATCTTTCATATCCTGGCTTAGAGACAACAGACCTTTAAGTCCTGTTCTTCAAGTAATAAAGTAAGTATCTCATTTAGATATTGAGTAATTATTGGCGGGTTGCATTTGCAACTTGTTGTTGACACTGATAAAAAGTTGGAGTATCTAGGTCAGAAGAAATTAAGTACTGTCCCCTCTCCAGAGGATATGATGTTGTTGTCTAAAACCCCTTCACAATGGAAATCTGTAAGTTCTGGTTTTAATCTGTGTCGAGTTTTAGTGTAATATTTTCAGAGCTCATTGCCATCAACATAACTTGCAACTTGGAAAAACTAATTCATTTTTATGCTTCCGTTCTGATATTGCTATGAGACACTTGAAATATCGCCTGCTTTTCTCTCACGTTATCTGTTAAAAAGATCACAGAATTATAGGGGTTAAGGGGCCTCTAGAGATCGAGCCCAACCCCCTAAGACGCTGCTGCTTGACTGTATATTGCAGAATTGAGATCACTTCCCTAAGAGTTGTTTTTTAACTTTGGGTTATTTCTTCTGTAGTGCATTTAAGCTGAGTTTGAAATTCAAACGAAGAGTTAGAAATGCAGTAGAACTTACGTCCCTATGTAAATTTACGGTAGATTTCAGTTTGCTCAATGTTAGGATTAAAAGACCTCCTTCTGTTCTTTCAGGGATGAAAATCCTGCTAAAACAGATTTTTTTCAGCACTTAATTGAAGATCGGACAGAAGCAGCTTTCTCTTATTACGAATTCTTACTGCATATTCAACAGCAGATTTGTAAGTGAACAAAAAATAGACCAGAAAAAAAGAACCCAGCTCCAGGTAGCATTGGCCGAGAGAAGCGTACGGGAAGCGGCAGAAGTGGGTGTTTGTTCTTCACGATATGTAGTAACCAGGACTGTTCTGGAAACTTTACAGCTGAAGTAGAAGTGTACGTTTCCAGAGGAATTTTCCAGATATACTTCACTGTAAAAGTGCTAGGAGCAATGGAGCTGTTTCACTAGTAATCTTTGAATTGGTTTATACACGTTTCCAGTAGTGCAGCGGTATGGTGCTCTGTTTATTGCAAGCTGGTGAATTTATGTAGCTATGTGGGATATTTCCTAACGAAATGTACAATTAAGTAAAGCCTTTTTTCTTACATTTGTTATGGTAGCCCTTCAAAATTCGAATTCTCAACCAAGATGTCAAAGGGCAGTGCTGTATGTTGGTTGTTTATATGAATTTCTTTTTAAAAGGAATGATTCGTATTTACTAGAGACTTCAGCAAATTCCCTGCGAAAGTTGTAGAATTTCACTAAAGTAAAATAATTGTAGAAATGAAATATATAATGTACATAAGTGTTACATTTGTAAAGAAAATGTAAAAATGTAACTAAAAAAAGACTTAGTTTAGTGTATGGAATTGTTGAGTGTTCAATGATGAATTGTTTCGGTCTCAAGTTGACTATTAAAACATGCTTAAAAAAAGTCCGTGTAGAAAGAACACAACTTCTTGTTCCGTTTAATTTTTAGGCGAATTTATTTCAGATCGGCTTAATAATTAAAAATATTTTGCTTTATCGTGTCTTTTTTATATCTCTGCAAATATCACGTTTTTGCAACTGAACTCTAACTGAACGACATGCTGTGGAGAACATGCTTACCGCTTTTTTTTCACAGACATCCAAAACCATGGAATGGTTTTAAACTGAGGCAGGGGCGGTTTGGGTTAGATATGAGGAGGAAGTTTTTCACACGGGAGTGGTGACACACTGGAACATGTCGCCCAAGGAGGTTGTGGTTCCCCGACCCCTGGAGGCATTCAAGGCCAGGCTGGATGTGGCTCTGGGCAGCCTGGTCTGGTGGCTGGTGACCCTGCACACAGCAGAGGGTTGAAACTTGATGATCTTTGAGATCCTTCTCAACCCAGGCCATTCTATGGTTTTCTAACCTGGAAGGGAGGAACAAACGTTGCATAATCTGAAATGAGCTATCAATACAATGGCTAAAGTTGCTGAAACTCTCCCTGTGTGTTAACCTAAAGACATATCTGTTAACCTTATTTATTTTTTGTAAACTGCTGTAGTCTCAGTTCAGGCTTCTGTAATTTATTTTGTCTGCAATTAGAGTAAACATAGGTAGTCACCCAGTCTGACCTGATGCAATTATTTCTGCTGTGATATAGAGAGGAAAAAACAAGGGAGGAGGAGAATAAATGAACTTGCAACAATGAAAGTGTAGGTATTAAAATGACTTTAAATTGCCAAATGACATAACTGTTTCATCTTTCTGAAGCTGTCTTCTTGTTAATGTTTTATCATAACTTAATGGTGGAGTTTCAGATAGATTTAGCCCAGATTTTTAAGTTTTGATTCAAAGTTAGGATGGTGTGGTTTTCTTTTGGGTTGGTTTTGTTTGTTTTTTTTCTTCTGAGGTATAATAGAAATAATTCACAAAGCATAGTCAATCGTGCGTAGTAGTTGGAACTTTTTTGTTTGATTAAGGAGATGTGACTAAAATGAAATAAGTATCCCAAGGTAATTGGTATGATTGCATTTTATTTTAAAGTGGTCTTTTAAACGATTAACATGTTGCGTAACTACCGTATCCCCTGGAAACAGACCTTGAGTAGTCAAGAGAAAAAATGTACTAGCTATGGTTTGCAAATGCTTTAAAAGCTACACTACTTAAGCTGTTCAAGTGTTATTCTGCATGTTAGCACCAACTCACTGTTTGGAGGAAATATAATTTGTGTGCTGTCTTTAAATGTGTTTAAGTTGCCCAAAGATCACTTGACAAAAAAATTCTGTTTAGTAAATGATCACGTAATAAATGTCTGTGGTAATGGTGAATGTTGTTTCTAAGTCAGACCACAAGGATTTCAGTACCAACATGCTTCTTCGTAGACGACTTTGCAGTAATGAAGGCTATTTGCTGAAGAGTGGAGCATTTCAAATATCACTTGTAATTGCAAAGAGGCTAAGAACATCTTTAGGTTGAAATACCTCATGATGTCTGCTTTTCATTCGTATATGTAGTCACTTCTGTGGAATCACAAGGTAAAGGTCCAGCTGGAAGAGAGTAATGTAAAGGCAGGCTATTGGACCCATGCCATTCTGAGGCAATTAACATGCTTGTTACATGAAAGTTGATGGCCTGTAGATATAATTTCAAGTAGTGAAATGCATTACTGCAGCTGTTCAGCTCTTAGATGCCGAGGTCAAGCAAAGCATCAGATTATGTTCACCTCACTTGTTCAAACACTGACTATTCTATGTTTTTTTCCCCTTTATTTTAAATTTTTGGGTGGTTCTATGTGCTTGCGTGTCGCTGGCTCCTCTGTCACCGTCATGGGGATGGGAAGAGTTTTGCTGCAGTTCTGGAAGGAAATGTGGGAGCACTCATGGAAGGCTCGGGAGGGCAGAGCTTGGCACCGGTCGCACTCACTCTTGGTGTGCTCTGGTGCCACATTCTCCAGCTCACTTTCATGCCGTGAGCTGTGATGGAGATCACGTACCATGGAGATGCTCAGGTGTTACTGTGATGGTGAGCACATGTGTAGGTGTAGTTGTATGCTGTGCTTTTGAGCAATAAAGAAGCTACCTCGGGGGTAAATCAGTCACTCTGAAATGTGTTGTTTTTGCTGTAATTTTTCTGTGAGGGAGCAAATTGCTATCGTCAAGAGCAGGATCCTCACCCGCCCCTTTTCCAGCTCAGCAGCCGGATGAAATCCTCAACTTCTTTGATGGCTCTGATTAGCCGTTATGCTTTCTGTATAATATTTATAGAAATCACTCGTAATTTTATCGAGTTCCCTTTTTAGGTACATGAGTTGATTTTTATAGCATAACTTTTTCTTTCTGAGAAGCACGGACACAGTTCTTCAGGCTGAGCGAAGCGCGTTTTGTTTTTTGGGCAGGCCTTATTATTGCTGCACAGAATTTTGTTCCCAGAAGGATGTGATTTGCTTTGGTAGAGTCACAGATTTGTAATGCTACAGTTATTTGGTGCGTGCTGAAAATTTGGGGCTGCCAGCTATTTTGCTTCCTCCTGGCTAGCGTGTGTTAACTACGTGCTCAGAGAAATGCTCTGCTTCCACTGCTCTTGGTGAGGAAGAGTTCCTGTTACTGTATCATTACAGAGAACAGATGTGTCAGCACAATCAAGTGGATAATTGCCATTTTTTATTGGCTGTTGACAAACAGTCTGAGTCATAAAACACTACAAGGAATGACTTTTTTATTATTTTTTAAACACAGTCAAGTTCGATACCAGTTTGACACTGCAGAGAAACTCAGATGGATTTGCGTTGTGCAGCCATTCACCTACATGAGATTTCCAATTTAGTTCATGCTGTGGATATCTGTACCAGGCTGCCTGCAGGCCCCAGGGTTTTCAGCTGCTGTTGAAAACAAAGCCTGAGTTATGAATTGCTTGTAGCTTTGTAAAACCAGGTTCCCTTATAGTTGCACAGGCCCCTTTACCAAAACTCTTTTTGTGCTGCGTGGAGTTGCTGGTATGGCGACAGCATCTCCTGCGAGGGGCAGGACCCGTCACGAGAGAGTAAGGAGAGAACTGCAAGACTGTTTTTTACGAAGCAGGAGTTCTGTTTAACATCATTAATTCAGCATGTGTCATACTTTTACGTGTGGGATTCTCTTAATTGTACATCCAGTCAATCACAGTTGCATGTAAGCTACAAGATGGGTTTGCAAGCGTGCCTGTGAGAAGTGCTACAGATTTGTTTTCCTTCCATGTTAGGAAATGGTGTATGCTTGTTGCTGAGGAAAGGATTCTTCCTACTTGCAAACTGCAGCCAGCTGGGGAGCCACTGGCTTTGGTTACCTGCAGAAAGCAAGGCAGTGAGTAGTTTTGGTTTTGTTGTTCCCAGTGTCACCTCTGTCTGCCAGAAATGCTTCTTTTAGTGTTCTCAGCTGACAAACTGTTGGCTATCGCACTCTTCAATCTGTCCCTAACTTTGTCTCGCCCTTCCTGTGAATTACTTCTAGATACTCGTGTTTTCTCCTACGTTGTCATAACCCTTTTAGTGTTACTCATTTCCAGTCTGTCCTTTGTTTTTAAGCAGTGTGGGAATCATCAATCTAGATGCATTGAATAGCCACAGGAGAACTTAAAATAGGTTTTTTCTTTTTTTCCTTGCTCTGTTGTATCCTTTTGTCCCCTCCCAAGATAGTCCAGCAAACTAGCAACTCTAGGACATCACAGGCAGCTACGTAAGAAGCAGGTTATCATTGTCTTGTGCGGTTGAGTATTCCGCTTAAACGCGCTTTGTCCCTGCTGTGTATTTGCAGCCTAAATGGATCCCGTGGAAATGGAGGTATAATTGAAGCTGAGAGCTTTCCACTTCTTTTCCTTCTCTTTCTATAACATAAGTTTGCTTGATGATCCAAACCTTGTTTTCCAATTCAGAAACCTTGTGCTTTAACTGGAGCATCTCACCAGCATCACACGCTGTTCCTTCCAGCACTTTGGGCAAGGCTTTTTTCTGTACCTGTGAAAAGACTGACCTTACAGAATATCTGCGAAATTGCTCTGCAAATGCCTCAGGAGCGCTGAAGATTTACTACAAATCACTGCCAGAGTGCTAATACTTAGAGCTGTTTACAAACGTAGCGCGTGTGTTAGCATTAGTCTCTTCTCATTATGCTTTTCTTTTCTTTTTTTTTCTTCTTTCTTTATGTTCTTTTTATGTATTAAAATCTCTTGTGGCACTGGAGAGAAAGCAAGCAGTATGCATGTTCTCAGCACCCTCTGCCCGAAGGGAAAGGAGCTAAAGGAGAGTTAATGTAATTGTTAGAGCCAGAGTCGATTGCTCCAGCATCTTTTCCACCGTGGCAACATACTTGCAAGTTAGTAGCAAAGATAATTTCTCATGGATTGCTGGCTGCCAGAAGGCTTACTGCAATCAGCTGGGAAGGCAGTAAGCTCTTCCGAGCCTGGAGGTGTTTCACAGCCTTGTAATACAGCGTTCATTATGAGATGCCTCTGTTAGGAGCATCTAACACCAGCTCTGGCTCTAGGTTAACTCCCTTCTACTTTCCAGTAAGATGAAAGGGAGAGACAGGCTCTCTCCTAAGCTAAATGTCCTAAGCCAGGGCAGTGAGCCCAATGAACAGTTAAGGCCTTTGTTCTCTGAGCTGAAAAGGGAAAGCTAGGAAGATGACAGCTCTCAGTCCTGCCAGTTACTTGCTGTGACCTTTTCCGTCCTCGTCTGGCTCGCACATCCCGGATCATCTCAGCACTGCACCTGGAAGTGCAGACATTGCCATCTGCAGAGTGCTTTGTGTCTGCCATACTGAGCGCTGCTTCCTGTGGTGTGGGAAGATTGACGTGCTCTATAAATGTGCTGCTGTGCATCGCTTGTAACTGATTGAGTATATGAGTAATTTGTGGTACTTTTGCTGTGAGGATAGATGGCTCACAGGGAAGGGAACAAGGACGTGAAATCCAGGATTCCCAAGGGTTGGGAAACTGAGGATTATGACTCTGAAGGTCGAGTTTGTGTCTGGTAAGTAATTCCCTCCTATTAGAGTGGCTTTATCTGCTATAACACAATAGC